GATCTTAGCTGGGCACAGTAGCTCATGCCTGTAATCCTGGCTACTCAGGAGGCAAAGATCAGGAGGATCAATGTTCAAAGCCATCCTGGGCATAATAGCTTGGGAGACCCTATCTTGAAAAAACCCTTCATAGAAAAGGGCTGGTGAGTGACTCAAGGTGGAGGCCCTGAGTTCAAGCCCCAGCACCACAAAAAAAGAAAAAAAAAAAAAGAGAGAACTCAGGATCCTGGCCTGAGGAGTGCTCATTGTTACTGGGCTGCTGTTGCTCCCAAGCCCTCCAGTGCAAAGACCTAAAGGATGTGTGCATCCATGCGAACACACGCACACACGCACACATCTTCATCAGATTGTTCTTATGCCTCCATGTGTGTTGAAAACCATGAGTTGACACTGACACCTGGATGTCAATCCAGCACTAGTGTTCTAGTTTTCAACTCATTATTTGTACCTCCCTCCCTTCTCTGGCTCTGAGAAATTCATGCCCTGTGCCTCTCCCACGCCTGTAGGAGGGGGCCCTCTTCATCTTGCTTTGGTTAACACTCCATGCTAGACCATTTCATCCACAGGGACACTCTTCATCCTGCTCAAGTTCCACAAAGCTGCGCTGGGTCTTCACTCCCAAGCACAGACACCTCCCATGCTCTGCCCATCTAAAGGCTTTAGGCCAAATCATTGGAGGAAGAGGAGCCCTGGGAAGATTCTGCCTGTTGAGTACAGAGTGTATCATGGTGGTACTAGAAGCATCACTTGTTTTGTCTTAGCTCTTACAAGACTACCAGCTCTGTTGGGGAAGGGCCCTCCTTGTTCACCTCCCCAACATTTAGCATTTGAAGTATCACCAACCCATGCCCACAGCTTCTTTGAAGGTGGGTATGACTGCCCAGTAAAAGCAGAGAGGAGGACCCCAGGAAACCACATGCCACAACCACCTATCCGGATGCCCACGCACACAGATGGCGCAGAGCTGACTTGCCCAAGAAAACAGGCAGTTGCCCAGGTGATGGAATTTATGGTGTACTGAGAGATTGTCTGCTCTAAAATAGCTCTCATGCTCAGGCTGAACTAGCAATTTTGTCCTTTGGGCTTCAGATCTGATGTTTAGCAGTGTCCAGCCCGGGGAACTGCAGATTGGAGAGAGGCAGAAGCAGTGATGCTGAGATATTGATCCCCAATTCTGCTCCTGACTGTGTGGGGACTTGGCCCTACTTCCCCATCTCTAAGGTGGCAATTCCTAAGATCCTTTCAAGAACTCAGGTCTGTCCACCACAGTCAGTCAGGGCTGACTCTTTTGGGACACTGTCCACATTTGAGGGACTGTGCTAAGCACCTGTCTCAACCAGTGCACCTGATTCTCCCTGGGAAGCAGGTGAGCAGCTCCTTGCCACTTCACAGGAGGGTGGTGCTGAGATCCAGGGAGGCTAAGAGACTTCTCCACGATCACACAACTGTTAAGGTCTGGGGCCAGGACTCAAACCCAACTCTACCAGACTCCAGATCCCCAGCTGAGACAGCCTAGGTATCAGGGCTGTGACAGTGGGTTAATTTTCCTTTATGTCAAAGCAGTTCTGGCTCGGCTGAGTGTCAAAGTACTTACAGTTCTAATGTAGGAAAACCCTGTGGCAGAGTGACAGGGTTGAGCTGCGTTTGGTGATGCTTCCCACAAGACCCCAGCACCAACTGCACAGAGCTGTTTGCTTCCCTTCCTTCTGTGCCTAGGATGGTGCTGCCATTCAGCACGACAGGAGAAACCTGCCCTCGGGACAAAATCCCAGGGATGTCCTAGTCACAGCAAATTCACCAATGTACAGATGTTGGTTTAAGGCAACAGCAGTTAAAAGGGAAATGGGACAGGAGAGAAGAAATGGAGAGACCACAAGATATTATCACCAGAGCCCAAATTCCAAGGATCAGGAAAATGCAGACCATGATGGAAACTCAGAACCCTGAATGTGAATGTTTTCACAGGGTGTTCTGTGGAATCTACAGATGGCCAGTCAAAGCTGGATGGGAAACCCCATGATCAGATTCTTCTGAAGGGTCAATCCAGTCACCCATGAAACAAAAATCCATTTAATGTAGTTTAACCTTGAGTGTTCCAAACTTGCTTGACCATCTCTGGAACACACATTGGGTCACCTAAACTTGGGCTTTCACAAATAGGCAGAGGACTGTCAAGGGCGAGGCAGTCACTTGGGGGCAGAGCCTATGTCAGTTCCATGGGCTTTTGTTCCTGCACTGTGGCTGCTGTGCAAACCAAGCCTTGTGGTTTGTTTGTCCCTCTGGGTCTGCTATGAGACAAAAGATATCCTTTCGGGGCACAAAACCAACCTGACATGAATTCAAATCTTTGAAAGATCTTTACAAAATGCACACATTTTCCTTATATACAAAATTTAAACAGTTACAGTGTTTAGTTTCTTGTATATACCAAATTTAATTCCAGGCTGGTGTTTGTTAGGATGAGTCTGAATAGGTCAGAAATGGAGTCACAGTAAAATGATGCCAAATATTTTAAGTATCAAGGGCAGATGTAACATGACAAAGGCTGACAGATGTTCTGAGGCCACCCCCATTCTTTAAAGTAAATTACTGCCTTAAAAAGAAATGTAGTTCTATTTTATTTATTTTTTTGGTGGTACTGAAGTTAAGGAACATAGTTTTAAATGTTTAATTCTTCCCAAAATGAAAACTTAAATGCTTCAGATTGTTTGCCTTTTTCTAAAGTAGAACGTTAGCTCTTTATAGATGCTGATGAGAGTAGGTTTTGGGGAGGAGGGAAGCTGGCAGGACGATGGAAGAGCCTGATGATCGCTTAGGCTCCTATCCGAGTTTGATGCAATAAATAGGTTCCATCAGATGTCACAGAAAAACACTGCACGTGAAGATATCTCACCATTGTTGTCATTTATCTTGAGTTACTTGACGAAAACAAGCAAGATGAGACACAAAGTTAAATGTTGACAGTACTGGAACAAATCACGGCTCTACCTATAGAGCAATTTTTTTTTTTTGGCGGTACTGATTTGAACTTAAGGCCTCATGCTTGTGAGACAGGCACTCTACCACATGAGCCCCTCTGCAGCCCATTTTTTTGTTGGGTATTTTGGAGATAGGGTCTCATGCATTACTTGCCTGGGCTGACCTTGTACAGTGATCCAGATCTCTGCCTCCCAGGTAGCTAGAATTATAGGTGTGAACCACTGGTACCTGGCTTTACAGAAATTTCTTAATGAGGTTAGAAGCACTAGGATGGTCAAGTTCCTCCTATTTAAAACACTGTCCAAGGGTGAAGGCTCTTGTCCATACAGGGCCCTGATCCCCACCGTTCTGAAACCCTACTCCTCCCAATCCTGGGCACTGCAAACCCCTGCTGTCTCAGCAAAGCTTCTGTCCCTTCCCCCTTCAGGTCCTGAGAGTTCCTCACGTGACCCTGGGAGACACTTGGGGCCTGACTCATCTGCAGCCAGCATGTTACACTGGTCATCCTTAGTGAGATGGTACTAGCTTCTTCCTTCTTCCTGCTCTCAGCACAACTGCTGTTGGCCTGTCATTTTGGCCTCCCAGTCAGAATACACCATCTGTGCCTCACTGAGCAGTCAGGGAGCATAAAGACATAATTTTGCATCTTGCTGGCTAGCTGCAGGCCTTGCAGGTTAAGGAATGTCACTGTCTGCTTCCAGGATTCAGTGCTGTTGTGGCATCCTGTAGGAAATGCACCAAGAATCATGATGATATTTTTAGAGGTAGAATACCTCACTCCCTTCTTTTTTGGTGGTGCTGGGCCTTGTGCATGGTAGGCAAGCACTCTACCATTGAGCTGCATCCCCTGCCCAGAACTTACTTTAAATGATTTAGGAGAAAATGTGCATGTATGTACACAAGCATGTACTGAGATAGGGAGAGGGAGAGATGGAAAGAGAGAAGGAACAAGAAAACATTGTGGCAAAAAGCTTAAAATTAATAAATGTATGCAAAAGAATATAGGTGGTCAATATTCCTTTTCAACTTTTTTTTAAAGGGTTACAATTTTTGAAATAAACAGCTGAAGAGAAAATTTCTATGAGTGTGGTATAGGAGGTCCTCAGTGTCCACAGGTATGTGTTCCAAGACCACTGCCAAGGAAAAAAAATCATGAATGCACAGGATGCACAGAACTCAGTTACTCCCTAACACTGCCACCATCTTCTGCTAAAGACATGCTGCCTTTCAACAAATATAAAAATTTCACTTTATCACTTAAATTAAGGACATTATGTACCCTTTTTGGTTCGGGAGGATTTCCACAACTTTTGGACACTATTTGCTTTTTTGGGGAGGCATATTTTCACAGATCACATGGCTGACAATAATGCGAGACAGACAGAGCTTTTCCACATCAACTGGGCTGTGTAATGCATGTGCAGGAATTAAAATTTTCTGGTTTTGACATTTTCTTTCTTTATTTCACACCTGGTCAAAACTACATGTAATAAATCCACAAATAAGGTGGCTTACTATAGTAGAAATGCAATTCATATTACTCTAATACAAAGAATCCAGTTTTCCTAAACGGATGCTACTGTGCTGTTTAAATAAAAGAAAGGAGCTGAGTATGGTGGCAGACACATATGATCTTAGCATTCAGAAGGCTAAGGATCAAGACAGCCTGGGCTATACAGCGAATTCAAGGCAGCCTGGGGTACACAGTATAAGATCCTGTCTCTAAACAAATAAATAAATAAATAAGTGCAGGCATTATGATACAGTTGCTCTGAAATTTCTCAAAGTGAAAATCACTCAGCCTAATTCAGACAATAAAAATTTTAACCAAGAGGCAAGAAAACACGCTGGACAACTCTACAACCTTCAAAGTACAGTTTTCCAGTGTTTTTCTTTATCAGAATCTCTGACGACTTCCAGTGGAGGAGGTACATGTTTTTAGGTACACAGATACCACACATGATCAGCAGACAATGGATCTCCAGTGGAATGATTTATCAAAAAGAGACATCAAAACTTGCAAGCGGTCTGGATTCTTGTTTATTGAAGCCAGTAGTTAGAGACATCTTTTTTTTTTTTCCAGCACTAGAAAGCAAGGTTCCACAAGACTGCATACTGCACCCATGTAGAGCCACACCCCTTGGACTAAGGCTGGTGGGGGATCATCTGCAGTCCTAATTTTAAGTTAAAAACACTAATAAACTTAGCATACAGACGACAGTGAACTTTCACTTACAGCATCAACATTGTTAAGGTCATGATGAGCAGTCACTTTCAACTTTGTAAAATTAATAAAACAATGTCTTCAGTTTAAATACTGATTTTAAAATGCCAATCAAAAGAAGTGCAAATAAAATAAAATAATCTAGCAGCATACTTGTTGCATTTTTAGGAAAGACTAATTCGTGGCCCTTGTCTGGGCCACATTTTCTAGACTGGGCTTATTTTTCATTGATTTTTCCACTTTAAAGACAAACAGCAGATGTAACCGTTGCAATATGTATAAATAGTCATAAAATTGTCGTTACAGTCTACCATACAAGTGAATTCTGCAAAGAAAATGAATTTTACTTTAAAAAGTAAAGGCTGTTTATTATTTGGCCTTTGGTTCCAATGCTTGAAAATCCAAAATAACAAAAGTGATTTGTCCTCCTCCCACCTCCCCTAAAAGAACCCTGGAACTCCCCAGAGTTGGTAGACTTTGGCAACCACTGAGCGCTATGCCTCAGCTTTTTTCTGGTACCAGGAGCAACCACTTATCATAAGAATAAGAGTGGTCTCCAAGAAACCATCCTTCACAAGACTGGTGTCTTAGCACTTAATTGGTTTTAGTACATTTCACATTGACACAAAAAGTGCTTATCAGTTCAAATGATAAAAACTTTAAATTGTGCATTAAAATGTAAAGTCACACTGTGTCCCTCTCAGGCACTCCCCTCTCCAACAATTCCTTCTCCTTTCTGAGGCCACTCATCTTGCCCCTGGCTACTACAGAGAGATTAAGTGACCCCACCTTTAGTAGTGTGGCCATAAACTGTTTGGCATCTAATGGTCACTATACCACAACTGTCACTCCACAGTCAGTTTACTGTCATCATCTAATAACCTGGTAATTGGAAGCCAATGTTTTAAAAAACTGAATTAAAAAAGGAAAAATATTATATTTCAACAAAAAAACTGGCACAAGAAACATCTTTCTGTTTGTCAGAAAGGCAAGTAAATATTCAACTGTCTCCTTAACAGTGTTCAGACCTTTACAAAAGCAATTCAAGACCGTCAAGAGTCTTGTTCTATAACACAGGATGTTGAGTTATGCACAGTACTGAATTAGTGGTCAGTCAAATCTGGTATGTGAAAGTACTGACATCAGGGAAGTTAGGCTGAGACAGAGTACAACAAACATTCATATAAAAAAAAAAAGTAAACTCCACATAAGTGAACTGTGGTTTTTCCCTTGGTTTAACAACAAATGTTTTATACATTAAATTCATGGTAGTGTTTGCATTTACATGCTCTGTGCCATAAAAAATTAAAAGTGCCATTTCAAATCCACAGAAATCATTCCCAGAATGGTGGTGTGACATGACAATGTGCATGAATATGCCCTAAATGGGAGACACCTGAAATCTCATTTCCGTAAGGAAAAAAAGCCACATTTTATGAAAAACACACAAAAAATTATCATTTTCATTTCAATATAAAACACCCACACTATCTGTCCATCTGATAGCACTAATCAGACCAGGGAGTTTGGACATGACCCTTTTGCATCAGTGGAACTCATGAAGGTTTCCACAAATTATAAGGCAGGGACTGGTGCAAGCCAATTAGCCAGAGTTCAATGACATTAAAAACCTCCCCAAACTTTTCTACAGCATACTGCATTATGATAAAATGAGAGGTCAATCACCCATTTTCTACATTAGGCCAGCCTGTGTAGTAAAAAAAAAAATAATAAATTTAATTTAAAAAACAAAGCAGAAGCTATTTAGAAAACACAAATCAAAGAAATTCAATGTTGTATCTGCTGACTTTAAATACAGCGCACAGTGACTGCCTGCCCCACAATGTACATCTGTGGAGCCCAGCATCTTCCCAAGGACATGGCTTGGGCCAGGCATGTGGGTTCTGGGCAGCTGACATCCTCCCACCCTGTGTCAGCTCCACCTGACTCAGGTACCCCACACTTAACACATCTCCCATAAGGTAAAGATGCATTCAGAACAAGTCTAATTCCCATTTTGCTTAGTGTTTAGTTTGGAAATGCTCCTAATTTTAAGTCTTAAACAATGATTATTCAACTTCTACCGAACACACAGTATTTACTAACACTGCTCATCTCCTCCTTCTTCCACTTCCCTTAACTTTCAGCTTCCCCACCATCACTTCTCTCATTTCTCCTGCAAGTTTTCTCTCTCCTGGATTCTCTGCTACTTAATCTGCTTCCCAAGAACACGTGAATTTGCTAACACGTGAATTTGCTAACAAGCAACTGGTCAGACTAACCGCATCTGATCAATGATTTCCTGGATCTCATTTTCTCCATCCTGAAAGAAAGGAGACCCTTTTCCTCTGCTCTACAAGAAGCCCAGCTGCACTTGCTTCCCACGAGAGAGCCACATGCCCAAGAGCCCAAGGGTCTTTCTTAACAAGGGGTCTGACATGTAACCTTCCTAAATGTGCATTTCACACTTGGACAAGCCAATGAAGTATTTTTTTTTAAAAAAAAGTTCATCTCCCCTACCCCCAAAAACTGATAGCATGTGCTGTATCAGAAAAGTCCTGGTCTTAGCAGATCAATATACATAGTTATTTGGTCATTTGACATATGCACTTGTTAAGGAAGATCAGGCTTCATTCTCTGTTGAAGAATTTGTTACCATGGAGTCTGGTTTTCGAGTCATTCTATCCAGTTCTTCCTGAACATTTGACAACACAGTCTTTTGTCCTTAAAAAAGGGGAAAGGAAAAAAAAAAAGAAAACCAAAAATCCAAAGCAGCAATGTGAGAACAGAAAAGAATTTTTAAAAAAGAAACATTTAAAAATATACAGACTTCTATAAGCATTTGTAATGATAACTTCAAAAATGAGGAAAGCCTCTTTTTCAAGGATCATGAGACAGACCCTCATCTAGCCCTTCTTAATTTCAAATATCACATGTCTGTGTTTCCCTAACTGCTCAGCTGCCCCTGGTAGGGGGTGGGGATACCTTTGTGCTAAACTCAAGGGCCTTTCTGAAAATGCTCTCACCCTCCAGCCCCAAGCACTATGCACTCTTACTGCCATCTCCCTGGAAGTAGGCATGAGTTTCAGGTATGCAGCAAACTACTTTCTTTGGCCCAGACAGGCTGTTTCCCATTATAAAATTCTACCTGACTCAAAAGGAAATACTGAATCTTAATAAGATGAGACCAAGGCCAGGATGCTCAGTCCTGTACAAAGTTAGTGCTAATTTTTTCTGTTGTCAAACACGAACGGGGGCCTGAAAAATGGCCCGTTTCTGGTAAGGGAATAATATTAGGTTGCTGCCCAGACCAGACTCTGGGTGTCTCAGAACTTGGGAGCTGCTGGGGGCTCAGGCTGCCCTGAGAATGTAGTGATTTCCTAAGTTTCCTCTATTCTAGAAATTTCAGTTAGGGAAAACACTGTATCAATATACTTATAGCCAATGGAAAATTGAAAGCAAAGACTCTTTAAAAATTTCCTCCAATGCTTACCTAGCAGGTATATGGCCATGGGTTTAGTCCCCAATACCACAGAAGGTAAATAAAATAAAATGTCCTCAGATTCCTGAGAAAATGTGTAATTTCCAAGGAACTTGGTTTTTTTCTTTTAGAGGACTTCAAGCAGACTTTCCCCACCAGCCCACATGGAAGGACAAGTGAGCAGGCCTCCACAGAGAGCTGTATGTGTTCAGGAGGGAGGAGATGATCACCCTTCTAGTAAATCAGTGAAGGTTCACTAGCTCCAGTTCACTTCAAAAGACCAGTGACAGCAGAACAAACAAGAATCCTCTTATAGCATCACATAAAATTAAATAGGATAAATAAACTGCATATGGTATGCTCAAGACCATGACCTCCAGTGGAGAGTCTCTACGCCAAGCTTGCTTGTATGATTTAGGTCATATTTTGACTCAGCTAGTAGCCTAAATATACATTAAATCCCACTTTATGTGCTAAGGAAACCTGAATTATCATAAGGCAACCCCATGGGAAGAACAGTGCACTGCTTAGTCTAAGTGCAGATTGGCTTGCTGTGTGGTTGTTGTTCACAGCATAATGGGTCTGCAGGTCAAGTGAAGGCACACACTCCATCCTCCTCTCCACCCAGCATTACTCAATCTCCCAAGGCCCCTCTGTACCTGACTTCTTGGCTGTGCTCTGCACCCCACCAGCACCAGGACTTCCAGGAGAGCCTGTTTTTTTACTCAACAGACTGTTGAAGAAGCTGGCCAATACCCCTTCACTTGCTGCATTATCTAAGGAAATAGGGGAAAAAAAGCATCACTCAAACTGGATCACTTAAAACAAAACAAAAAGTAGTCTTCAGCTTGAACTTAGTTGTTTGTGGCTATCACCTCCCTAGGACACTGGTCACATTCATTATTGTGATTCCTGATACATCACCACTGCTGAGGCTAATTATGTGATGTCAAAATTACTAAGTGAAAATGTGTTTGCGTTTCCTACCTGGTAGGAGGCAAAAACATAGCCTGTGCTTCACATCATCTCCCAGTCTTAGGGCAGTGTTTATCAAAGTTTTATAAGCTCTTAACACTCACAGCCTACTATGATAAGCCCATATCCTAAATAGAAGAGGTCCATAAACATGTAAGAATTTGCAAATTTTGTTTTATCGCACCCAATATCCTTGGGTATCAATTAGCTGCTGGGATAACAGCTACTTAAACTAATAAGTAATTTAGCTTGATAAGAGCAATGAAAGAGAAAAAGCCCCACAATTTATATAGTAATAATATAAACATGAATAACTAAGGATTCAAGATATATATTTTAAAGTGACTTCCTATTCCATGTTCTTTTCTGTAGGCATCTGCAGGGCCTGAAATCCTACACAAAGCAAGGCTCATGGGCCACAAATTCCAACACAGGAACAGGTCCTGGTCTCTGCCATTACAAACTCTCCCTCTGGGGGAGGGGAGGTAGCAAGTGGCCTTTCTTGAGGAAAGAGAATAGCCCTAGCTTTCCTGGATCTTCATCTGAGACCTGGACACCTGCATAAGGCTCAGGCCTAGGACTAAACCCTGCCCCAGAGACAGTATACGTACTTTTGATGTTTGGGTCCGGCTTCTTTACTGATGTGCCAGGGGAGGCACTGGGCACACTGGCTGGCCCACCCCGGCCCTGGGTCCTTGGAGAGCCAGAGGGTCCTCTCGCAGGAGACTCCTAAGTTCAAAATCAGCCCAGATCACATATAGGCTTACAAATAACAGAAAATACAAATTCCAAAAATGAAGACACACTACTACAGGATATTTTCTAAGTCTAGGGTGCAGGACTGGGAGTTTGCTATCAGTTCAGTCCCTTTCTAGACTTCAGTTTTTCCTGTGAGGAAGAGCTAACATGCTAACAAAGCAGCTCACTGATTCCCAGTTACAGACCTTCATCAAACATTTCCTGAGATTCTCCTATGATCCTGGCCATGGACCTTTAAGGATACAACCTTCCTTTGAAAATATGAAAGCCACACAAACATAGGCTCTTACAAGTAATGGCATAGTTTGAAGTAACTCATAATACTAGACCATGACCCTCTGTTTGGTATAAGGTACTCACGGAGGCTCTCGTGGGTGTTGCAGGCTGCTTGGCAAGGAGTGACTGCAAAGAGAGGGACAAAGTGGCCATTAATCAAAGCCTGCAGAGTGCACTGAGGTCTGGAGAAAAGCTTACTCCTGGTATTCCACTAGAGGGCGCCATTAACAACAACCAACTCAGGTTTTACACTATAAATGCAAAATAATCTAAATCTAGCAGTATGATACATGGTGAAAAAGATATTTCAAGTAACCAGTTTTAATGCTAAAGAAGTTAGCAGGGCACAAAAAAAGAGGAAGAGCTGGAAAAAGAGCTGTCATTCCTCCCAGGACCTGCCTGTAACCTCAGGCAGACCCATGGCCTGTCTGTAAAAGAAATACAAGACTGGGTTTACATTAGAAAATCATCAGCTTGGGGAAGTTACTCTCCTTGCCTACAAAATGGCATTATCTAGTTTCATGCACTGGGCTGTGTGGGGCTACATTAAATAATGGAAGTGAGGCCAGGTCACTTGATAAGTCAATGCAAGTATGCCTGAAAGCGTACATTTCCAGACCAAGAGAATTTAAAAAGATACTAAGCCTAATCCTGAAGGAAAATGTATAAGGCAGGCAGGCAGGCATTCTGAAGCAGGTACTCTAATTCCTACCAATCCTAGGTACAGAACAGAACGAGGAGAGTTGGTCTACAAACTCTTTGTGATTCCTCACATGTAGACAACCCCAACTGTACCTCAGGAACTGGCATTCTATGCATGAGAAAGCCTCTCCCTCTGTTCTAACCTCACTGGGTCTCTTACCTGTTGCTTCATTAGGAACACCTGCTCATCTTCTGCTGCCAACTCTTTGTCATGGACCAGCTGTGAAGCAACACACACATTTGTAGTCACAGATCAAGAACACTCCCAAACAACAGTGCAAATTCATGCTCCAAGGAGACTCTTGGGCTCAGGCCTCCACACGGACCTGTGGGATTCTTTCTGAATCTGCAGTTAGTTTTCTAGCTTGTCACAGACTTTCTTCAAAACCAGTCATGGCATGTGGCCAGCCAACTGACATTTTTTAAGCCTGGCAGTTTCTAAACAACACCTCCCAAATCAGGAGATGCCAAGAGAAAGATCTAGAAACTCCAGAGGTGGCAGCAGCAATGTCAGGACTTAGTAAGAAATGCCACACAGCTCCATGTGGGCATACCATCACTTATACCACTCCACCCTGAGCCATTCCTGTTAACAACAGATGTCATTTAAAGACTAACAAAAGGCCCTTCAATAACTCACTTTTTTCAAAGTAGAACAATGTAGGACTGGTCCTTTATAGGTTTCCTTCCATTAAGAAAAACCTGAAGTCTAGAACTGGGGCTGTAGCTCAAGTGATAAGGCAGAGCCTTGATTTCAAATCCCAGTACCACAAAAACAAACAAAATAAAGTGACAGATTTGGGTACCTTTCTCACAGGAGGTTTCACAATAAAGTCTTCATATGTATCTTCTGGCTTCACAGTTGTGAAATTTTCATGTAAAATAGCTATTTTCTTTTCATTGTCCCAGCCTGCAGGTCTAAAGGCAAAGACACACAGACCAACTTGCTTTTCCTGTAACTGCCTTCTAGCACACGCAGTGCACACTTTGGGTCAGAAAGGACTCCTAGGTAAGACCCATTCCCACAGATGTAGTCTGCAACTGCTCCTGCTTGCCTGAGGCTTTTAGCACATAAGCTAAATGCACACAGTAGGTATGTCCCATCAGATTAGCACGGCAGGTCTTGCTTTATACAGAGTCCAGGGGCTCCAGGTCTACAGAGCCAGTTCCCTGGGCACATCTGGCTCTCATACCTCTAGCCTCTCAACACACTTCCTCCTTTCTAAAATTCTTTCTGTGGTACATTACGCATTTTCCAGCACCACCCTCTCTGCTGCCCTTTCCCTCTTTGGCTGTTATGTGTCTCTTTCTACACTGAACAAGTATCACATTTCATTCATTTCTGTATCCCTGGCAGAGAACCTGAGTACCTTAGAGGGCTGAAGTTGAGAAGCAATTAAAGCCTGAACACTCATCTGCTAACATAAATCCTCTCTCAGACCACAGCATTATCACCGACTTATGCATCCAGCAATATTATTTTCCAGAGAGAAACTCAGGAAAACAGGAATCCAAAGTCTCTGGCAGAACAGTCAATGCCAATGATGTGAAATGCTGGAAATAAAAGTATGTAGAACAGCCAAAACCCATGCAGAGTTGCCAGGAGGATGCTTGTGATCACACCTGCCAACAGGCAGTCACCAGATGCTTTAACACAATACACCCAGGATCCTCCAAAGTGAAATTCTCTATACTTCAACTCTCTACTTAGACCAGTACTTCACCAAAGTTAGTAATAAGTACCCAATGGCTTGCTTATGTTTTGGCAACTTGCTCTCAATGAAGAAAGGCAGTACCACACCGCTTACTTCCCACTGGCAGAATGTGTCAATCCAGGAGCAGAAAGGGAAAGCTGCATGTATATACCACCCCTGAGGCTCAGCCTGAACACCTTCCCCATAGCAACAGGAGAGCTGGCTGCACCAGACAGACAGAAGGCGCTACACAGGAATGGGTAAAATATAAATAGCAAATGTACAATAAAGGGGTTAAAAAGTATCACCTCTGAAGAACTCACATGAAAACTGCATCCTTTTCCACAACTAAGGCAGGTGTGGTAAAGTGGAAACCATATGTTTTATGAACAATGTATTTATACAGTAAATCCAGGTTTTTCTCTTCCTTCACTGAGGTGTAAATCAAGGCAGCTCCATCTAGTCAATACATTTAAGGAAAATCAATTCAGTGCTAGAGACAAAAATTAATCACATAGAAACATTATTCAAGTACTACTCACAAGTTGATCAGTTTTTTATCACTATATGAACAACAAACAAAGTATCAAAATGTTAAAACTAAAATGACAAATGAACCAAGTCAAAAGCATAAGAGCATGTTAATACTAGTACGGCTTAAAGTTGATGTATTAACTTAGAAAATCTTCTTCATAATCCTTCAGGGTGCTGTCTAAGAAATAGTAGCTCTAGGGCTAGCACGGGAAACCACCCTTGGCATATCGAGGTCTATGGATTCCTTCCTCAGCAGACACTCACCGTAAACAAGCTTATCATTAAGCACACCTTTTCAGGGATGGATGCCAACAAGTAAATGGGCTCAAATGAAGCAGAAACCCATCAGTCACGCCCACTCCAGGTTGTGGGAATACAGTACCAAATTGCTGTTGGCTTTTTTATAGAAAGAAGACTCAAAGAGGCTGCACAGCATCTCTCCCATGAGTAGTATAAAATAAACATGGGAAACACTTGTTAGTATCTAAAACAACAGCCAGGACCCAGTGGCTCATGCCTATAATCCTAGTTACTCAAGACACAGAGATCAGGAGGATTGAAGATTGAGGCCAGCCTAGGCAAAAAGTGAGACCCTATCTTAAAAATACCCAACATAAAATAAAAGGGCTGGTGTAGTAGCTCAAGTGGTAGAGTGACTGCCTAGCAAGTGTAAGGCCCTGAATTCAAACCCCAGCACCACAAAAAAAAAAAAGTAAATTACTTTTGTTGCACTTAGAAATCTTCTTTTTTTTTGACAGTACTGGGGTTTGAACTCAGGGCTTCAGGATTGCAAGGTAAGCATTCTACCATTTGAGCCACACTTGCAGTCTTATTAAGCCTCTTAACACGAAAGCCTATCAAATGTGAAGCCTTTAAAAGAAAAAGTAACTGAGCCAGGTGTGGTGGTGCATGCTATAATTTTTATACTTAGGAGGCTGAGACAGGAAGATCTCAAGTTTGAAGCCAGCCTGGGCAACCAGGTAAAACTCTGCTTCAAACAACACAAAAAAAATATATACACATAATAAAAAACACATATAAATAAAAAGTGACCAAAAATAGGACTAAGTTAAAAAGCCTTAAATTCCAACATAGTAAAATATAAAACTAGTGGAAAGATACAGTTTCTCCCTCACAAAAGACTACTCTGGTTTTAATAGGTGCTTTGAAGATGCCCCATTTGGAGGGAAGCCCACAAAAGTGCCCCAAGGATACACTGGAGGCAGAACCTCCGTAGGTGTGACTGGATGAAGTCCAAGTGTTCATCCCTGTAGTCATGTTCTTTCTCCAGGATGCTCACTGCATCACACTGCAGGGGAGAGAAAACAAAAAAAGAGCATTATCTTTCTGCTTCTTAAGGCCTTCTGAGGATGGGAACAGTGGTTTCTTCAGAAATAAAGTATTGTATCTCCAAAGAAGAAAGCCATTGTCAAGGTTCCAAGTATTGATTACAGAAGAGTAAAAAGGAATAGAAAAGTTTTCCCTTTCATCCTAGACCTCAGTTTATCTACAAAGTGCATATATAATAAGCCTGACAACCTTGCAGTTGTTCTCAACATCAAACAAGGTCATGTTGGGAGACAGGCCCACTGTACGCAGCTATACATGGTACTCTACAAGAACAGGATTCTCAAGAACAGGATGAGATGGGAATACCCTACAGCTGGGCAACAGAGTGGCTGTGAATGAGAATAAAGTACTTTTGAAACCCAAAACATTTTTAAAGCTTCACCCCCTCCCCCTTACGTAAGACAAACACTTTATTTCTCTAAAATTAAGCTTAATTTCAATTCCCACTTTGTCATTCTAATTTTTCACCATTGGTTTGGACTAACCAGATGAACTGGTTTATACAGCCTAAGAAAAGTGCTTTTAGTTGAGTTTTCCCAACTCCAAGGTGATCCATGGAGATCTCCCCAGGCCATTAACAAACCAAGTAATGTCATGTTTCCAGCAGCAGTGGTAAATAACAATATGCTCTACTCTGACACATTCAATCTACCTTAATCCATCCCAAATAAGCTCAACTCTCCATCAGAAAGAAACTTCATCAAATCTTCTCAAACTTTCTTTCAGATGGTGATTATTCAGTGTCCAGACCCAGTCAAACTTCCAATTCCCTGGACACACCTTTGTGCACACCACCAACACTGGGATCCCCAGATTATGAGTCAGCACATTGTCACCCAGAGGCAGGGCAACATTTTCTTCATCTGAGCCAGAAGTCAGAGGCCCTCTTCTCTGTGGGGAACCCTGACAACCTTCTTCAGGCTCAATATAGTCTTGAAAGTCTTTCACAACTATAGGGGAAAAAAAAAAATTATGCACATACAAATGTAAGTACACATTAGCTTTAGGAAACTGAAAAAGAAATAATAAGCACAAAACATAAACAGCTGTATATGACAAACTTCCCTGTCACATCTGACTGTAGTAAGGGATCTGGGGACAGTGATACAAAATGCCAATTCTGACATACATTCGTTCTGAGCTTTGTAACTTCAGGGCATTCCTCTGACTCTTCAATTGCATCTGACTTTTTTTTTTTTTTTTTAAAGTCTAAGGCTTAGCCAGGAGTGGAGAGTCAAGCCTATAATCCCAGCTACTCAGGAGGCAGAGATCAGGAAGACCACAGACTGAGGGCGGCCTGGACAGAAAGTTTCCTTAGGTTATATATACATAGCTGGTGTTAAATGATTTTTCTCTAGATGGGAAGGGTCATCAGCCCACCTGGAGCTCCTCTACAGTGTTATACTGGCATGGATACTGGAGGGAAGTCGCAAGGCCCTCCACCTCCACTGCTGCTGCTCTGCTGCTGCTTACTTTTTCCCTTCTATCTCAGTGACGACTCACTGGCCCTACGGTCCTGAGAAGACCCCACAGGCCAGCATGAGCAAAAGAAGCTCCAGACATGGAGCAGGCAAGACTAACTTACAAACAAGCACCACCTTCTTGTCACTCTGGGGTTGCTTTCCTTCCCACTCAGATGATTCCTGCAGCCAAACAGCTGCCATAGACCCTGAACCACTGGGGAAACTAACCCTCAAAGGGATAGCTGGCCATGGAATAACTTTCCAAAATCAGCAGACTGGAGACGGGCTAGATTAGAAACTGGGTTGTATTAACAGACCTTCACTCATTCTAAACAATCCAATTAATTTCGAAAGCAGTACTCTGAGAAAAAATATGGCCAACTGCTTTACTGAAAGTAACCTAACACCAGCACTAACAAAGGTATAGCTATGATTCCAAACATCTCAGACAAGGATGGTAAAAGCAGAGATCCTTGGAAGGTTAACCAGAATCAAGAAATACAGACGTGGTGTCAAGCATTAGCTAGTGGTCCTCCAGTGTTCTCTCTCCTTCTTCTCTTAATCAAACAGAAGCCTGATACTGAAAAAAGACTACATTTCCCATCGTCCTTAAAAGACAGCAGGCATGTGCCCTTCAACACCTCCTACATCTTCCTCCACTCTGCTGCCTGTACTGCGGATATGAAGGCTAGAGCTCTACTTGTCAGGAGGAAGAGAAACACACCCTAGAAATGATAAGGCAGTAAGCACAAGGGAGCCAGGGTCATTAAGCTGTCTTCCCTGGGCTGCTTCCTCTAGATTTCATTTCCAGAAGAGAGAAATAAACCTCAGTCTTGTGTGAGCCATTGTCTTGGGTTTTGTGTTGCATACAGGGGAATCTAATTTGAAGTGACAGAGACATCAGTGACTTAAGACCACAAAATAAATTCAGTGTCTCATGCCATAAGCTCCCCCAAGAACAGACATCCTGTCTGCTCTATCCCCAGCACCTAGAATAGTACCTGGTATTGGGGAGACACTTTTCTTATTTTAGAAAGGCAGTATTCCTGGCCAATCTTGAACTTTTTTCCCGTTTTAACAAATCTTTATCACCCTAAGAAAGCAGGTTCAGAGAAACAAAGTCTCCAGTACATTAGCTCACTAGTCTGGGTACGAAATTGTATGTGTAGTTAACTAGAAACAGCTCTTGAGCCTCTGAACTATTCTGAGTTGTCTTTAGGGTCTCTATTTTGGAGGAAAAAGAGACATTTTCTAGAAAAGTCAGTGGCTGAAGAAAGATGAGCTGAGCTGAATAACAATCACTTCAGCACACATGGGTGACTCAGGGAACATACAGGCAACAAACCAAAGAATGTTAAACTTCCTGTTTTAGCTAGTATGGGACAGAAGTGAGACAAAGTATAGGACAGGAACATTCACTGCAGGGCATTTAACTTGAAAAGCATATGAAAATTTCAGAACCCTTCTGCTATTAAGTGTACAGATCTTTCATGCCATTCCCCAGAGCCCTCATCAGTTTACTGAAGGGGTGATGTCATCCTATGGAATTAAGCCAGACTTGGCCAAGCCTATCTTGCCCAAGGCGGCTGCTGTTGCTGCTGCCACCAGCTCCAGTCCCTGCCCCTCCCATTTCCCTGGCAAGGGGACAGAAGCTGATGTAACTGCACAGAAGCAAAGGAAAGGAAAAACAAGCTTCTGAACCACATTAAGAAGTAAAAAAAAAACCACTTCCTTTAATTTGAAAATTCTTTGTTCTCAAAAGGACTCAGTTCCTTAGTCTTAATATAGCCTTTTATTTTAATGAAACCCTCCACACACAAATGACCTTCCTATTCCTGACTAGGATATTTGCTATACTCCAAAATAAGCCAAAGTAGGAGTTGAAAGATTTGTCTTTTTTTTTTAAGGCTCCCATTAAACCTGCCTACAGGAGGGAACAAGTCCACAGCCCTAGGTATGAAGGTCCCCAAAGACTCATGTATTGAACACTTGGTTTGGATACAAAATGTCCTAAGACTTATGTGTTGAATGAAGGCTTAGTTCCCAGCTGGTGGCACTATTAAGAGGTGACTGGATCATCAGGGTGCTAGTCTTGCCAATGCATTATTCCACTGATGTGTTCTTAAGTGAATGGCTATTAGAAGGGGCATGCCTTCAAAGGATGTATTTTCCCCTCAAACCCTCCCCCTCCTTTCTGAGCAGCTCTCCTCGGCCATACATTTCCACCATGATGCTCTGCCTCACCACAGGTCCAGAAACAACAGAGCCAAGTAACCATGGACTGAATACTGAAACCACAAGCCAAAATAAACTTTTCCTCCTTGTAAATTGTTTCTCTTAGGTTTTTTGTCATGGTGATGAAAAGATGACTAACATAGGACTCAAAGCTGCAAAGACCATAGCAAACCTCTATGCTAATGCTAACTAAGAGAGTGATAGAAACGCCTGGAAACCCACAGAAGTGATCACATTTTGGGAAATGAGAGAACTTTTAAATTAAAACATAACCAATGAAAATAAGGAATACTGATCTTTCTTCAACTGTGATACCTGAGATAAAGACTGCTTTGAATACTTTTTTCAAAATATTCTTGATAACTGAGCTTACAAGAGTAACTTTGAAATAAATGATGTAAAACAAGACACAAAATACTATATAAAGGAAGCCTCCTATTTGAAAAGACTAGTGAATTTTCTAATTATAAAAATTCTGTTTTACTTACACTTCCGTTCCAGCTCCCTCATTTCTTCTGGTGGAATTTTCATTTTATCAATGTGCTCACGTAAAACACTAGCCCATTTTTGTAGGGATTCCATCACAGTCCAAGGCCTAGACATGTCTGCAACGAAAATGACCAGGGTCTCCGGCAAGGATTCAGCAGAAACTGCAAACTTCAGCAGGCCTTTGTGGTATAGGTCTCCGTCCAGGATCCACACATTGCATCGTGTGTGATCTGAGAAGAGATGAAACTAAGTTACCTCCTAACAATGGCCATTAGCACAGCCAACAGAAGCTGAGCATTAAGGAAGACCATGAATTCCATATAGACTATAAACAGAAATCCTAGGTCCTGGTACCTGATAAACTAGACTTAACTAAGATTTCAGCAATGTTTAAGGAGCATAATAAAAGTAATTTGCTTTCAATAAGAACCAAAGAATGCTACTGTTTACTGCTCAACCGTGCCACAGTTTAAATAATTCATTGTCCTAGGATATCAGCAATCTATGAGGTGGTTAAGCAATGTTGAAGAATATGTAAACAAGCCCTTCTGTGTCAGTCACACTAATCAAGGCATTCACATATCATGGAGCGTGCCGAAGAGGCAGGAGCTTTTGTGTTTAAGTGTCAAGATAAAAATCACTACTTGTAAAATTGAGATATGAATTGCTGATGCCTGCTATTATGAAACTATAGTTATTCTTGTTATAACAACATAGTCATATTTTTTTTCTAAAAATCCTCATCTTTTAGACATGAAAGTATTTATACATTAAATGAAATGTCTGAAATTTGATTCAAAATAATCCAATGTAAAGTGAAAGGAGAAGAGTACAGCTGAAATAAAATTGACCAAGAGCCAGGTGTGGTACAGCGTACCCATAATCCCATCATTTGTGAGGCTGAGACAGAAGGATGGCGAGCTCAAGGCCAGCTGCGGCACATAGCAAGATCCTGTCTCAAAAAAAGAAAAAAAAGACCAAGCGCTGCTAACTGTTGAATCCAGGTGACATGTACATTGTGGTTCATGCCTTTTTGTTTTCTATAATATATTAAAACATATAAATGTGCAAGTGCTAACATTTAGTGAAGGGTAAGGTTCCAAAATCAGACTGAATGACTGAAATGTAGAAGATAATTCTCCAAACTGATAGGATATTTTTAGAAATTTTTAGATATCTTCCTCAAGAACTATTTTTATAAAAATACCTTGAGAAAGAACCCCCATTATCAAAAATAACATTTTGTTAACTTCTTTTCCAATAAATTCCAACACTTACTTTTAAAACCTATCTTCCATTTAGCTACTTTTTTGGTATCAACAATTCATTAGTATGTTATAAAATGCATATTCATGACTATAACTGCATAAGGTATCTAAATCTAGCCATAAACACACACACATCCATTTTTGGTGGGACTGGGGCTTGAACTCAGGGCTTCACATGCACGAGCCACACCTCCGGTCCGTTTTGCTCTGTTTATTTTGGAGATGGGTACTTGCAAACTATTGGCCCAGGCTGGCCCTGAATAGTGATCCTCCCGATTTCAGCCTCCCAAGTAGCTAGGCTTTTAGGGGTGAGCCACTGGCACCCAGCTCAGCTATATTTCAAACTCTAGTATATACTAAATAATGGTTTTAGTTTGAGTTCTGTGAATGCCTTCAAAAAACACTGCTCTGCTGGGCATGGTGGCTCAAGTCTATAACCCTAGCTACCTGGGAAGATCATGGTTCAAGGCCAGCTTGGACAAAAAGTTCAAGACCCCCCATCTCAAATACTGGCTTGGCACAGTGGCCAACACCTGTTATTTGAGATACATGGGGAAGCACAAATAGGAGGATTGTGGTTCAGGCTAGCGTTGGCATAAAGCAAGACCCTATATCAAAAATAGCCAACACAAAAAGGGCTGGTGGAGTGGCTCAAGTGGTAGAGTGCCTGCTTAGCAAGCACGAGGCCCTGAATTCAAGACCCAGTATCGCCAAAAAAAAAAAAAAAAACCAAAAAAACAAAAAACAAAAACAACCAAGCTGCTCTATACCCAATGTCTGAGAGTTTGAACGCCAACTCATTAGCAGGCATTTCAGCTTCTCTTGCCACTGCCCTACTACACATAGACTCACCCATGTGCTTACAGATCACAGGCATTCCATTCAGTGTTAAGAGAAATCCCCCAAGCCTGGAGGCAGAATTTCTACCCCACCACAAACCAGGTACGAGTCAAAGACTATTTTTTCTACCTGGGTGAGTGCCTGTGAAATATATACTTATAACCCAATCATGCCACACAATTAAGAAGACTGGAGCTGAAAGATATATAATTAACCACAGAAAGGGTAACACTTCTATCAAAGAAGGAACTCACAATCAGGGAGCATACAAAGTATCCTATAAATGCAGAAACTGCAGAGGTTTTAAGGTAACAATAAAGGGATATGAACTAGAAGTTAACACGTACTTCAACTTAAAGGCAAGTAAATAAGGTTAATGTGATGCTTTGGACTGAAACGTGCTTATGCCATCTTGAAACAGAAGAGGCTATAGAAATTCACGGAGAATCTATACTACATTTTGTTCTTTCAAAAGGAGTAAGATAAAAAAGGTACAAAAGTTATCACCATGTATCCAGTGCTCTGTTACACCTGACACACATTCTCTTATTCTGTCAACCTGCAAAATAAATACCACCACCTGGTGCTACACATGAGGAAGTAAAATTCAGGGTGGTTAAGTTAGTTAAGAGGCCACCCAACTATTAACTAAAGGAGTAGCTTTCTGAACCAGTTCTGTCTGGCTCCAAAGCCCAAGATCTTTCCGCAATAACCATGGTGTCCTACAGTCAGGAAGAGAAAGACACGGGCAAGCAAAACAAACATGTGAGGTCCTCTAGGCCTAGCTCAGTGGTCTGAATCCCAGACCTATAAGCACAGACTACAAAAGGGACTAGATAGACACCTGATGCCTGTCCTTCTGACACAAGACAAGAGGCCCTGGCACCAGGTTTACTTTGCCTTCTTTTCAGGTTCTTAAGGGAATGTTCAGCAAGACAAAGAAGTCAAGGGAAGGGAACAGGGATAAAATCCCTAGGGTTCTAAAATGACCACTAAATTAGCATTAATACAATGTAGGTTTCCAAACTAAACAGATCTTGGAGATGGCAGAATTAAAGTGCTAGAAAGGACCTTGGCTCAGCTTCTACAATTTAGCAGTAAGGAAATGGGTGCCAGTGAAGTAGGGTTAGCTCTCCTTTATATAATTGCCCTTACATCATGATCCTTAGTATTTAAATGGCCAAAGATAAATATAAAAAGTATAATTTAATCAATATTTCATCTGTAGGCAATAAAGATCATTTTCCTACACAAAAAAGACTAAGCACCAATAATTATTTATCTTAGTCATTAAAAACTTTAACATAAATCTTAAAAGATTATAAAGGAGACATTAGAGTAGTAATAACCAAAAATCTTTACTCCATCCATCTCAAAATTCAAAGAAAGAATTTCAAAATTATATCTAATTCTTGTGTTTACCACGTGCTTTTAAATGTCTTACTACCATGTGGGTAGAACCATTACTATCCACATTTTAGAGATTAGTAATTAAAGGGAAACATTTCACTCCTCCACCAGAAAAAAAATACAAGATATTAACATTTCTAAACAGTTACCAAGAGACTCAGAAACTGTCCTATGAATGTAACTGAAATTGTTACACTCTGAAACACACCAGTATCAGATTTTCCAGTAGAACCAGGTAGATCAGCAATCACTAGGCATTCCTCTCATAGGAAACTCCAAACCTTCAAAAATCCTTACTATCTTTATATGCGTGTGAAACTTTACTTTCAGTATCTCCTTTTAAGGAGGGGCTACCCATAGCAGCAGCTAACAGTCCTACTTCTCGATTTTGCTAACATGTTCTATAAAAGAAAGTGAATAAAGCCCTGCAAATGAAACACATTTCATCTCTTTGGTTCTAAGAGAAAGGTGAGAACGCCCATGTTACAGGAGTCAGAGGCCTGCATCGACTCCTTACCATGGACCAACACTTCACTTACCATCTCGGTCTTCATCATGGATGCTGAGGTAGAGATACTCTAGGCCTCTTCCTTTTTTGCCATGCTCTGCTCCTTGTAGTTTAGTCATAAGAGTTGTTTTACCAGAACCATCTTCACCTGAAAATGATGTTTGCAAGAAAACAAAGATATTCCATTTATTCCAGGTAAGAATAGCAAGTCATTAACATTCACACAAGGGACAACTAAGAATCACATGCAAAGCCCATTGCTGAGGTCTAAAGCAAATTTTGCTCTAAAGAGTGACTGGGTGGAAAGGGGGGATCGGGGGAAAGACAAGGCAGCAAATTCCAAGATCTAAAATGGTATTCCACTGCAGTTATCCTTACTTCACAAGGGAAGGAATAGGGCAAGTCTACTGGCCCTACCTACCATTTCTAAAACATGCATTTGGAGAAGTGGAAGTTAAAATAAAAGGTGGGACTAGTTTCTCACAAAATAAACCTCTGCCACAAGAAAAGCAAGAAATCTTTAAAATGCAATTAACCTTAAAGTCTAGGAACTCTTAAAAAGTTTCTTCATCTTGCCCCACCATCATCAAGAAAATAAGCTGCAATTCACATTTGCTTTTAGTACATCTCTTTCACAAGCAGTCTGAAGGCTGGGAAACTGAAGAAAATAATTACAGACCTAAGCCAAACTCTTAAATACAATCTCACTTCATCATCTCCCTCTGACCAACTGATAACACCCCCCTCCGCCCAAATCAAACCAAACCCCTGTAAACATCAAGTAGAGTCACTACCAACCAACATCACGGTTCCTCAGATTGACAACATGGAATTACAGAACATGAGACAACGCCTCACCTTTCTTTTTTAGGTCCTCCATGTTCCCTTGGACTACAGTGAGCACTTGTCAGCCGTACTTCAATACCTGCTTATTCTGAGAGCTCCTTCACTCTGCAGCGAGTTATCTTTCTAAAGATGTAACAATCTTCACCCCTCATTTTTTGAAAGTCTCTAAGGGTCCACTATAACCTACTAGAAGATCTTTTGGTCCCTTCAGAAATGTAGGGAAATCATGCAAGGCAGTGATTCCCATAATGCTAGGGGGTGGAGGTAAAATACAAGGCCTGTGAAAACCAGGGGCCTTCAGGAAAGAATATTAACTCTGCAGTCTTTCACAATGTGCCCCCAACTTACCTTAATGGGCATCTACCACAAGAAGCGTAGAACAGTTTCTAAATCCCACTCTCTCCTGTCACCTCTGGGTCCCTACATACTGACACTCATCCATCAAAATACCTGACCCCAAATTTTCCTTTCAACAGCACCAAGCAGCATGATGCTCCCACAGCAAATGTGTCTAAGGCCGGCACAGTGCAATTACTAACACCTGTCTGGGCTAGACCGGGGTTCTAGTGTAGTGTCTAAGAACTGTCTGCACTATCCCAGTGCGCAGACCACAGGTCCCACTCCAAAATGGGTTTGTTGTAGGAATTCACCCAAGGCCCCTCACTTCGATGAGGAAGCTGAGGCCAGAGAGGTTAAGGGACCGGTCTCAGGTAACCCAGCAGTGACAACAGCTTACCTAACTCTTAACAGTGATGCAGGAAAGGCGCCAGTGCTGCCACCCAGGGCCTGCTGTTCTTTTCAGACTCCCTAAAGCCTCTGTGCACCGCTCACGGAGCGAGGCAGGCTCGTGTGGCATCTGCTCCCAGCCCCCATGCCACCTCATTCTCCTGCCTTCTCCTCTGCTCTCTCCCTTTTCCACGCCCTCAACCGGGTGAACGGAAGACTGGGCGCAGGGAGTCAAGACCGATGTCGCGGCTAAGTGACTTAAAGAATGTGCTAACAACCCCAGGCCGCATCAAACTCTCCCAAAGCGCAGCTCCCCACGGTCAGGCGTGGCGCGCCCGGCGGCTCTCGGGCTGCCCTGCCGCGGAGGAGAGAAGACTGGGACCGTGGGAGGACAGCCGCCTCACCCACCCCAGCGACCCCGGGCAGCGACCCGCCGCTCACCGAAGACAAGGATGTTCTTGCCGGACGGCAGCTTGGACCTGGCGCGGGTGGACACTTCACTCAGGATCGAAGACCTGCGGCGACAATGGCAAGAGCGGTTAGCCCCAGAGCCGCCCTGGCCCAGCCCATCAGTGTCTGCCCACGGTCCGGCCCAGCCCAGCTGCTTCCCTGCCCGGCCGCGTCCTCCGCGGCCTCACCATAGGCTCTGGCCCTCCTCCTCCTCGCTGGTCAGGTCGCCGGCGGTCGCCACCGCGGGCCCGTTGGGGCCCAGCAGCAGCTTCTTCTCCACCCCCACCGGCGCCATCTTGCCAACTGCAGCCACAAAGAGGGCCCTCCCCCGGGCCGGCCGAGGACCCGGAAGGACCCGGACCGGGTCGCCCCCGCGCCGGCCGCCGGCCGTTGGCCGCTGCCGCAGAAGCCGTGCCACCCGACGCGACTCGCCGGGCCACTGATATCCGCGGACTCCTGCTTGTCGCTTGGTCGCCGCGATGACGAGCGGCTGCGCAGTCAGGCAGCCGCCGGGACAACCTTGCGCGGGGAGGCGGGGTGGCGGGCGCCGCCCGGACCCAGGGAGCGCGGGCGGCCTCTAGCGGCGGAGGGGCGCAGCGCCGTCCCCGGGCCGGGTCTCGCTCTGACTGTTGTCCAGGAACAGCGTCTGGTGGACTGTCCGCCAGGCCACGCCCTGGAACGCAGCACATATCCAATAGCCGCACTCACCTAACGCTCTCCGTTTGCCAGGCTCACACGCTGTCCCACTGAATCTTAACTAACCCTTAGCAAACAAGGAAACCGAAGCTTAGAAAGTTTAAGAAACCCGCCCAAGGACCCGGTGTTGGAAGGCGACATCCAGGTACTTCCAATCGTATTCACCAAACTATTATATGAAATATTTGGCCTAATACTTATCAAGCCCTACACTGAAAAATAGGCAGGTCTTAAACAGGACCTCAAATCCTCACAAATAGGTGCTTTTCACCTTCTCCATAGACCCCCTGTTAAGACTGTGAGGTAGTGATTTTTTTGCTTCAGTTTTATTAGCGCATATTAAGCCTTGTACAAAATAATGGGTTTCATTATGGCATTTCCATAATAATGTACCTGAATACTTTGATATTCATCACCCCCCACTACCCTCTTTTGTCCCCTCTTCCCCTCCTGTTGGTCTCCTTCCTCTTTCCCCTTCTTTTTAAATCTAGATTTCAAATATGAGCGAAAACATATTTGTCTTTCTGGATCTGGCTTGCTTCACTTAACATGTTGCTTTCCAGTTCCAGTCATTTTCCTGCAAACATAATTTCATTGTTCTTTGTTGAACTCCATTGTGTATATAGTTTTTCTTTATCCATTCATCTATTGACAGCTTGGCTATTGAGAATGGTAACACGATGAATATGAATGTGCAGGTATCTCATTATATGCTTTGATTGCTTCCGTATATACTTAGGAATGGTGTAGCGAATCTTATAGTTCCAATTTTAATGTCCTGAGGAACCTCCATACTATATCCATACTGGTTGCAGTAAGTTACTGATAAAGAAACCAAGGGGAAAGATCTGAAGGCAAGCTCCCTCCCCGAGCTGTGCCCCAGTTTGACAGATGTGTTAGTGTGGTATGCTGTAACCTTGTGCTAGTGTGAAAAGCTGTAACCTTGGGCTAGTACGATATGTTGTAACCTCTCAGCAAGAGGCTAACTGCTGTGTCTGCTTTTATCCTTCCTGCTTGCTTGCTTCCACATGCTGAGGCATAAAACCCCACAGCCCTGAGCTACAGGGCCAGTGCCATTTTTGGAGCGATCCAGGTGCTGGCCCTCTAGCGTAATAAATCTTCCTTTCCTCCAACCACCTGGGTTTGAGTCTTGTTCTCGCTGGACCAACATTCTTCCTGCAACATTTCTGGAGGCCCCACCGAGATCAGACCTCCAAGCCCAGTTGGGTAACAGGTCCCCACTCCCTGGCTCTGCAGCCTGCAGGGGGTCCCTGGAACCAGGAAGTGTGCACCCCGGATGTGATTCCAGGGTCTCCTTCCAGACAACTGAAGGAGGCTGCGGAGCCATGGACAGGCCCTCAGACTGGTAGAGTGAAATGGAGATCTGTGCGAGGCGTCTGGATCAGGTAGGAAGCCCTGGGATAGTCAGTGTAAGAAGCCGGTGCAAACTGATCCTCTGCTGGGGACCGGCGGAACTCTGAAGAATATCCAGGGTGATGCATCCCCTTCCTCTCTGACTGATGTGATTGCAGTCAACTGGGACTAGAGCAGGCCAGGATTTTAGGGGAAAATAAATAGTAACTGATTGTTTTAAACTCTGAGTGAATGGTGTGTGAATGAGTAACTTGACTCGCTAGTGTTTCAAGCTTGAATATGTGGCTCCACTTCTGGGCACCTCTAAGATCCCTTAAAGGCTACGTACGGAGTCCGAGTGGGCTTGATCTGTGACTTCACGGTGATTGGCATATGGTCTATGGTGGGATCGGACTAGCATCCGGATTGTAAGTTACCCTGTCAAGCTGAACCCACTACAGCCAAGCCACACCCGACCCCATCGTGTGGGGTTGTGGCCAGACAAGCACCTGTGTGGCCTGTCACTGAGAGGCACCCCCTTCCCTTTGTCCTGTGGCATCTATAATCACCAGGCACATACAAAATAGTTCCTCTGGGTCAAAGCGCCCGATGGCGTGCCAGACCATGCTTGCTAACTTTAGAGACGGCTTCTCCAATGACTATGGAGTCCGGATGAAGCCAGCAAAGCTCTGAACCTTTTGTATAGTAGAATGGCACACCTTCAACATAAGATGGCCCGCAGAGGGCACACTGGACCTAGCTACTATTTCCCATGTGAGAGACATAGTCCTTGGGGATCCAGGTCATCCAGACCAGTTTCCTTACATTGACTCCTGGTACATCCTGGCTGCCTGCCCACCTGACTGGCTGTTTTCATGCACCCTGGAGACACACAGCCATTCTGGTTAATGGAAAAGTAAAAGGAAAGAAATTTGAGGTCCACCACACCTCAGAACCTGAGCCACCAGACCCACCACCATATGTTCCTTTGGTGTGCCTCACCGCCCTGGCCTCCCCGAGACCTGAGTCTGACTCAGAGGACCCCAACAGAAAGAAGGAGGCATCAGAGCCAAACCCCCACCCATGTCATCCAATGGCTCCCTCGTTATACCCTCCTGTGCCTTTGATGGCCCTGGAGAATGAGCCATTGGGGAAAGTCACCAAATTCTGGGAGGCTAACAAGCAAGGGGGCAGGAACCCTGGCTGTGGTGCTATGCCCCCTGCGCCAGGCTCCGGGCCGCCATTACCCCAGGCAGATGGGTCATTTGTGGCAGGACCCACGCTGAACTGGCAGCAGCACACCCCAGCACACTCAGAGGAACCACAGGCTGTAATAGAGCTCTTGACCAACATCATGCACAGCCACCAACCCAACTGGGATGATTGCCGTCAGCTCATGTCTCCCCCATTCACTTCTGATGAGTGCCGGTGAGTATACCAAGCAGCCAGAGCATGGCTAGTTACCCAAGCTCCACCACAGACTGCAAATCCAGAGCAGTGGGCAGATGAGAGGATCCTGGACACCAGACAGGACTGGGATCCAAACACTCACACTGGGCTTCAATCCATCCAGTGTATGAGATAAGCCATCCTGGAGGGAGCCCACCATGGGGAAAGAGGAGCAACCAACCTTACCAGGGTCAGTGAAGTCACACAGAAGCCTTATGAGCTGCCTAGACAGTTCTATGACCGGTTATGTGATGCTTATCATTGGTATACTCCATTTGACACTGAAGCCCCGAGAACCAGTCTATGATCAACACCGCCTTCGTCCAACAGTCTGCCTCTGATGTTCACTGAAAGCTACAAAAGATGGAGGGCTTCACAGGTGCCAATATTGACCAACTCATTAGTATAGTGGCCAAGGTAGTAACAAACTGAGAGGAGATGGCCAAAAGAGAGAAAGAAAAATATCTGGAAAAAAAGGCAAAGATCCTGGCTGTGGCCCTCAAGGAGGGAGACAGGAAGACCAGAGGCTGAAAGGGAGGCCCCAACAGGAGAGAATGGAGAAACCCTCTGGGAAAAAAAACCAGTGCACCTACTGTAAGGAGGAGGGACATTGGAAAAATGAGTGCCCTAACAAGAAAAAAAGGAAAAAGAAAGAGTGACAGTGGCTGCTGCCAAATCCAAGGAAGCGTGCAACCTAGAGACAAACACAGCCTGGGAAGGCGAGTCTGACTGTGGGTGAGCGGGCTCCCTTTTGATTGGCCTTCAGGAGCCCATGGTCAATACTGACATTGAGGGCCGCCAAATAGACTTTATTCTGGACACTGGGGCAGCCATTTCTACCATGACCACACTAACAATTAGGCTCACCAAGGACTCAATCACCATTATAGGGGCCACCAGAAATGCCAAGAAGTACAGTTCTGCGAACCCCGAGAATGCATGGTTTGTGGACACCAGGTCAGGCACCAGTTTCTATATGTGCCAGAAGCTCCAGGTCCCCTTCTGGGAAGAGACTTACTTTCTAAAGTAGCCACCACAGTATTTATGGATCTGGGACTGCCTAATGTGAGCACCTTGCTGGTGCTAACCTTGGAGGTCAGTCTTGAAGAAGAGTGATGCATACATACCCCCAAGGACAAAAAAACCCGTTCATCCTGTCGTCCCCAGCCCATACACTCTGCGGAGTTTGATTCCTCCCACCACTAGGGCATTCACATATCTGGACCTTAAGGATGCCTTCTTCTGCCTGCAACTGGTGGAAGCTAGCCAGCCCATTCGCATTTGAATGGGAGGACCCTGACACTGGAGCAAAAGGACAACTAACCTGGGCTAGGCTTCCATAGGGCTTCAAAAACTCCCCCTCTATCTTTGGAGAGGCCTTGGCCATAGACCTTGAAAACTGCTGACTGAAAGACTGCACCATCCTGCACTATGTAGATGACATATCTTAGCAGCCCCCACCCTGCAGGCCAGCAAAAATGGAACAGAAGAACTACTCCAATTCTTATAGAAAGCAGGATATAATATCTCACAAAATAAAGGACAAATCTGTCATTTGATATACTTGGGATATCACTTGAGTCAAGGGAAAAGAAGGCTGGGAACTGGGAGAAAAGAACTGATCCTCTGGTACCTGTGCCCAGAGTCCCAGAGACAGCTCCAGGAGTTTCTGGGCGTCACGGGCTTCTGCTGCCTATGGATCCCTGGATTCTGTCACTGCTGGGCCACTCTATGCAGCACTAAAGGGGAACCCCATAGGACCATTCCACTGGGGCCCTGACCAAGAGGACACATTCCAAAAACTTAAACGACTCCTGGTTGAGGCACTGGCTCTCACATCTCCTGGACGTCACTTGCCCTTTCCATCTCTACGTCCATGAGAAGGGAGGCGTAGGATTAGGTGTCCTGACCCAGCCACTGGGGCCATGGAACCAGCCAGCAGCCTACCTGTCCAAGAAATTAGACCCATGGCCTCAGGTTGGCCCATGCCACCGGGCATTGGCAGCGGTGGTCCTCTTAATACAAGAAGATAAACTGACTCTGGGACAATGCATCATGCTCTGGGTCCCCCACCAAGTAACTTCTCTGTTCAACGGCACTGCCAGTCGGTGGATGACCGGGAAACGAGTGGCCAGATATCAGGCTTTATTGGGTGACAACCCCCGTGTGCGAGTCAAAGCAGTGAGGACTCTCAATCCTGCCACGTATTTGCCAGAAGAGGAAGGAGACATCTCCACTCCTGTGAGAAGATTCTAGAAGAAGTCTTTTCTTCCCGGCCCAACCTCACAGACACCACCATTCCCAATGCCAACCTGGAGTTCTTTACTGATGGAAGCCGGAGCCTAAAAGTGGGAGGATACTGGACCAGGTATGCAGTGACTACTGTCACACAGTAGTGGAACATGGACAGCTGCCAGACCATTGGTCAGCCCAACGGGCACAGTTATACACCCTCACCAGGGCCTTCACCCTAGCGGATGGAAAGAAAGCCAACATTTACACGACTCAAGTTATGCCTTTGCCACCTTACATATCCATGGGGCCATTTAAAAGAGAGAGGCCTGTTCATATCTGGAGATGAAAGACAGTCAACAAATCTTACAATAGTTAGAGGCAGTCTGGAAGCCCCGAGCCATTACCATTATCCACTGTCCGGCCCACACCAACCAACCAGGTAAGATCAGCCAAGGAAACGGATTGGCAGACAGGATAGCAAAAGAAGCGGCTCTCTCAGAAGAAGTACAAAAGGAAGACGCTACTCCAGCCAAAGTATGCTTCACCCTCCCTGTCCTCCCAGACTGACCAGAGTACAGCCCACGAGAGAACCGGCCCATGAAACCAGGGCTAAAGAGAACTCAGAAGGCTGGTTCATAACCCCAGAGGGAAGGATCCTAACACCAGAAGAGACAGCCCTCGGGCCTTTGCACCCATGGAACCCAGGGGACTGGGTTTGGGTCAAAACCCCAATTAGAGGGAGTCTAGACCCCCAATGGGAGGGAGCTTACCAAGTTATTCTAACCACTCCTTCAGGACTTAAGGTTGCAGAACTGAAACATGGATTCACCACACGCATGCCAAGCTAGTGGAGGATCCAGGCCAGGAGTGGAAATCCCTAGTCAACCCGGACCAGCCGTTGAAACTGACCTTGACCTGAGGGAGTGCCGATGAGGCCCCAGACAGACCTGATTCTACTAATGGTTGTAATAATGACTCACAAACAAACCCTCCAGACCCAGCTGGGGGCTCTCATAAACTGATATGGGAGGTCAAACTCTCAGAAGGACAAGAGGTAACTATATGAATTGACTGCACCATCTGTCCTTTGTCAGACCCTTGTCTTGTCTCTTTTAGGTATTGCCCAGGCCTGAAGGCCAGCAGATGGGTCCAACTGGGGCCCTCTACCCTGACTTACTTTGGCCCATCCAGAGATCGCCTATCCAATGTGTATGGCTGAGTACCACGGAACTGGGATGACTGTAGGGAGCCTTCATGGTCCTTTCTACGGCACTGGTTATATGTCGATTTTGCCTCTCCAGGGGCTTGGAAAGGGTTCCCCCCAAAAGGCCAGGGTATCAGTATTCAGAGACTTTCTTCATGGACTATGAGCACATGATAAAAGCGAGAGCACACAAGGGAGGGGTGAGGATAGGTAAGACACCTAAAAAACTAGCTAGCATTCGTTGCCCTTAATGCAGAGAAACTAAAGCAGATACCTTAAAGCAACTGAGGCCAATAGGAAAAGGGGACCAGGAACTAGAGAAAAGGTTAGATCAAAAAGAAATAACCTAGAAGGTAACACCCACGCACAGGAAATCAATGTGAGTCAATGCCCTGTACAGCTATCCTTATCTCAACCAGCAAAACCCCTTGTTCCTTCCTATTATTGCTTATACTCTCTCTACAACAAAACTAGAGATAAGGGCAAAATAGTTTCTGCTGGGTATTGAGGGGGGAGCGGGAGGGGGTGGAGTGGGTGGTAAGGGAGGGGGTGGGGGCAGGGGGGAGAAATGAACCAAGCCTTGTATGCACATATGAATAATAAAAGAAAAATGAAAAAAAAAAAAAAAACCTCTTCAACATGAATGAGCGGTCTAAGGCACAGGGAGCAGGAAAGGGAGACCCCTTCCAATTAACAATAGATGAACTACAATGATGAGGAACTAGGGTCTTCAGGCTGGAAGGATTCCTCGAAAATCATTGGGGAGACCTGCAGTCTTAAAGATCCTTAGGTTTGAGATTAAAGCAGCAAACATCTCTCTCCTGGTTAGTAAAGTTAACTCCTTGGACCCCTGGGCACAGGAGCAAGTCTTCCCTCCCCCCTCGGATGGGACTGATCAGCCCCCGTTACCCCAACACCCCTCTCATTAAAATGATAGCTTTGACAAACAGCAGCCACCAGCTAGTACACCTGAACTAGGCAGAGACTGTTGGATTTGACTGAGGGCTGGCCAAGTGTCATATGCTGGGGTGGTCCTGACTAACATATCGGAGATGCATGAGCTGGGCCTGGACAACTCAACCCAAAATGACAATACCTGTCTCATAGGCCCAGCTATCCAAAAAATTGGAGAAACTAAATGCTTTGGTAACAAAAAGAATTGTACCAATCTGGTAAAAGGAGTCAAAGCACCTAATGGAATTTACTTTGCCTGTCAGGCCCGGATTCACACCTGTTACCCCAGGGGGCGGTGGGGGGTGGGAGGAAGGGGGGCTTGTGCCCTGGTTTTCTTAGTCACAGACCTGGACATACTTCCTGGGACTGAAGTTGCTCGATACCTAAACCAATAAGCTGACGGCCAGACCCGTTTACACAGGGACCCCCTCCTCCTCCCGGTACTTCTGGGAGTTGCCCTGGCAGGAGCATCGGCCACGGGAGCTACTGCTATTGGCCTCCAACAAGTCCAACACAGCCAGCTGTCTGAACAAATCCGTGAGGATTCAGGATTAGTACAACAGAGCATTGTCACCCTACAGAATCAGGGGGACTCACTGGCGGCCGTAGTCTTGCAGAACTGCAGAGGCTTAGACCTCATTACTGCAGAAAAAGGAGGAATTTGCATGTTTTTAGGGGAAGAATGTTGCTTCTATGCAAAACAGTCAGGGCTAGTGAGAGAAAATGCATGCCAATTCCTAGAGAGAATTCAGACAAGGGAAAGAAACAAGGAAACATTTTGGAATACAGGACGGAAGAGCTGGGCCCCATGGGTAGCCCCCCTGGCGGGCCCACTTGTGCTCCTTATGCTATTGCTCTTAGGGCCTTGTGTGATAAACTCCTAACCAGGTTCATTTGAACGCCATTATGTTGCAATTAGTGAGACAATATCAAAGACTGCCCCTAGATGACTCCCCCGAAATGGTCATAAGGGATTATGAAGGGTAAGAGGAAGGAATGATAAACCCAGGGGAAAGATCTGAAGGCAAGGTCCCTTCCCCGGCTGGGCCCCGGTTTGACAGATGTGCTAGGGTAATAAGCTGTAACCTTGTGCTAGTATGATATGTTGTAACCTCCCAGCGAGAGGCTAACTGCCATGTCTGCTTTTGTTCTTCCCACTTGCTTGCTTCCACATTCTGAGGCATAAAAACCCTGCAGCCCTGAGCTACTGGGCCAATGCCAGTTTTGGAGAGATCCAGGTGCTGGCCCGTTAGCGTAATAAATCTTTCCTCCAACCACCTGGGTTTGAGTCTTGTTCTTGCTGGTCCAACATTCTTCCTGCAACATTACATTTCCATGAACAGTGTATAAAGGTTTCTTACTCTCTCACCTCCCATCTTCTCCAGCATCTGTTGTTTTCATGTTGCTAGCCATTCTAACTGGGGTGAGAGGGAATCTCAATGTAGTTTTGATTTGCATTTCCATGATGGCTAAAGATGAACATTTTTTCATGTGTTGATTGGGTTATTCTTTGGTGTTTAATTTTTTAGTTCCTATGTATTCTGTCATATGAATAGCTGGCAAGGATTTCTCTCCTATTCTGTAGGCAGCCTCTTCACTCTGGTAATTCTTTGCCATGCAGATGTTTAATTTGATGCAACCCCATTTGTCAATTCCTGAGCTATTGAAGTCCTATTCAGAAATTCATTGTCTATGCCTACATTTTGATGTGTTTTCCCTAGTTTTAAAACTTCAGGTCTCATGTTGAGGTCTTTGATCCATTTTGAATTGATTTTTGTACAGGGTGAGAAATAGGGATCTAGTTTCAGTCTTCTACATGTGGATATCCAGTTTTTCTAGAACACTTTGTTGAACAGCTTTTTCCATGAGGTAGTGATTTTTTACTACAATGAATAATATTGTTGATTTGGCTTTGCTAACAGGTTTTTAAAATGATTATTTCCAGGGAGCCAGCATTTGACACCACAGTAAGAGGCTTTAATTTCTTTTCTTCAAGGGGAAAAAAAAGAAAGAGAATGTGAAAATGGAAGGTTCAGGGAAGAAAAGACTGAGAAGGTAATGGAAGAGAAAAGAAAAAGCACAGTGTACCTATCAAGAGTAAATTTAAGTGTGGCCTCTGCCTGAGGGTTCTTGTTACTGTCTATGGAAGCTGGACAACTTTACAATGCATTGCTAAATATCACAAGAAAATGGAATATGGCAAAAAGCAACCACCTGAGTTTCAAATGAATAGCAAAAATCTGTCAGGATAATTATAAGATCCAACAATGAGCATATCATTTGCCAATTTGGATGTTAAGTTTTAAGCGAGACAGTAGAAGTGAAAACCCATTATATGTAACACTCCCTGGAAACCTGGGAAGAACAAGTAAAGTGCTGGAAGTCATAAATGTAAAACCACAGCAGTGTCTGAATTTTCACCTGACAGAAGATGGAGTTGAAAACAATAGGCCAGTAAGCATAATCCCAGTAGGTGAAATTCTCCAGTGACCAAGTACAAAAGGACTAAAGATAGCAACAGATGTATACAACATCTTTCTTGCAGGGATATTAGGTAGGAGGATGCTGCAAACATAGTAAATGCAGATCTCAATAGGGCATTTAATGATTCACAATACAGATAAGAAGGTAAAAATGTAAACTGGATGATAGCATTTGGTGTGGTTAAAGACCAGGCATGGGGGTGAGGGGTGATATAGAGGAGGGACTACCAGAAGAGACTGCTCCGGTAGTACCTACCCCAGCTAATTCATGGTGCCATCAGTGACTTGGATGAGAATACAGCAACACACGTACAAATTATGGCTAACTTGAAACAGGAAGGGCTGTCAGAAATACTGGATGACGAACTGAGCACAGACTAAATCTAACAAAATGAAATTTAACAGTAACTACTAAAGTCCTATAGTAGGGCTTAACAAAATAAGAATACGATAGGAATTATTTGAAAACAAATTATGTTATAACTTGATCAAACTATAACCTGAGAGGTCATGTAAAATCACAATTAGGTCCATAGACCCTCTCTGGGCTTAGCAAAGAAGCTAGCCCCTTATTCAGACCATATTGCTAGGGTCACCTTTTTTTTTGAAGGGAGGACACAAACAGATGGTATGTCCAGTGGTCAGTAACTAAGTTCATAAGAGGACATGACACTGTTTTGTTGCAGCATGATGTAGATGGAGCTCATAGCATGAAGGATAAAAGATGTGGAGGGACAGGAGAGGGAAATGATGGAGTCTTTTAAAAAGCCAAAGAAAAGAAACATAAACCAAAAAAGAAGTGTACCTGACCACAGAATATGGGAATATTCATGGCAACTTCACAATTAGGTTTTAGAGGAGGAAACATTTTAATTAACAAAATGTCAAGCATGTATTTAGTGGGTGGGAACCTCAGTGTTGAACAGCTTGGTAAATTATTCTTTCTGAGCTCTGGTGAGGAACTTTGAAAGTGGGAAAAGATATTAAAATTCAAATGTCTCACATAGTATTCATTGTCATATAACGTCCACTGTTTGAAGGCTGATAATTTTTTCCTCTGAGCTGTGTTCTTTGAGCTTAAGGAAGAGTAAAGGCATATTCCTAAACAAACGTTTAACCTTATGGAGGAATTTCTATCTTATTAATCTACACATTGAAAATGTATTTGCTTTATAAATTATTGTAATAAGTTGAAGACTTCAAGTGTCACAAAATCTGCTTAATTAAAACTATCTGTGAAGGTGCCACATGCCTATAATTTCAGCACTCAGGAGGCTGAAGAGGGAAGATTGCAAATTGGAGTATGGCCTGGGCTACAAAGTGAGTACCATGCCAGCCTGGGCTACATGGTGATACCCTGTCTCAAAACAGCAACAAAAACAAAAACAAAACATACAAAAAAACTATCCCTGTTTCTATACTTCCTGTCTCATGAAGGTTTAGGAAAGCAATTAACATTTTATATCTTTCAAGTTACTGTGTTTTAAGAGTAAAAACTAAAAACAGTTCTTCCAATCAAGGAGCTGCATACTTGGGATGTTTGATGAGGTTGTGGTATTTGTGAGCAAGGTCCACAGCTGTTCGTCCTTGCTGAAAGGGGAAAGACCACAAAATTGAATTCCAATGATTTCCCATTTTCTTAACTCCATGGAAAAGATAATTTACTTCTTCTTCAGTAAAGTTTTTACGAATTCTTCTTTTTTCTGTAATTAATGGGATTTATAGAATATATTAGTATTTGCTGAAAAAAGGAGTCTTCTTGAGATTCAAATATGCACACAATTTATTTTGTAGATATAAACTACTACGTGAGAAATTTTCATGCCTGGTTTACTCATCATATGAAAATCCACTTCAAATTTAAAGAATTTGAGGGTTGGAGGTGTGGCTCAAGTTGTAGAGCACTTGCCTAGTAGGAATAAGACCTTGAGTTCAAATCCTAGTACTGCAAAACAAACAAAAACAAAATGGAAAAACCCTTGAGTGCCTACTGTTTTTTTGTTTTTGTTTTTGGTGGGACTGGGGTTTTGAACTCAGGACTCCAAGCTTGCAAAGCAGGCACTGTACTGCTTGAACCACACCTCCAGTCCATTTCTGCTCTGGTTATTCTGGAGATGGGGATCTCCAGAACTATTTGCCCAGCCTGACTTCAAACCTCAATTCTCCTGATCTCAGCCTCCCAACTCGCTAGGATTATAGGCATGAGCCTCCAGCACCTGGCTGACAGCCTACTGTTAGGTGCTACCACTGTGACTTCTTCAATAACTTTAAATATTTTTGAAGTTTTAGCAAGGATTTATTTTAGTATAACAGAATAAAGTAGGGAGAAGTGGTAGGAAAACAGAAATATTTCCTGTTCCCCATGCAGGAAATGGGAGCAAAGACTCAATAACTGTAATTTAACCTATTATAATAATACCTAAATATCTTTCAATCAAGAAACAAATTTAAAAACATTTGATTGTTAATGTGACATTCCTATGGGAATGGTTAACAAACAGCTTACCTAGCTTACAGATAGAGTCTTCCCAAAGGGCTTCATAACTTGATAGAATAGAAAAGAATACCAATACTTGTTACTTTAAAAATCAGGTTGGATTAATATTGTTAAGAACAATCACAATGAAACCCCATGTACAAATGGTATATGCTAATAAAATATTTTTCAGGACAAGGGGCATTTGGAATTCACTTTAAAAAACATGTTTTGAGTTGGAGGAGTGGCTCAAATGGTAGAACGGGAGCCTAGAAAGTGTGAGGCTAAGTTCAAACCCCAGTATCACCAAAAAAAACCAAACCAACCAAACAAACAAAAAACCATGCTCACTCGCTTCCTGTATGGGTGCTCAGTTTGATCAAAACAAAAAAATTGGCAGCACAATGGTGAAGGCAGTTTTTGATGACTTGGTTTTCAGGAATAACTTCTATGATACAAAGAATGCACAGTTGGTAACCAATTATTTTCTGGTGTTGATTAGTTAGAAATATTTTTTGAGAAATAGTTTTCTATGAGCTTTTTTCTTCATTGTTAACTCATGAAATCACTGTAGGTAGATGCTACAGAGAGGAGATTTTTGTACTTCTGCATGAGAATACTCTTTAGGGTCTCCCTTAGAAAATCTTGCCCTTGTAGGAAAAGACTGGTAGCCATTTGTCCACCATATGGTAAGAGCCATGGCCTAAATCTTTTAAAACAAAAAAGAAGGACCAGGTGTGTTGGTGCACACCTATAGTCTCAAGTTACTCTGGGAGGTAGAGGTAGGAGGATAGTGGTCTAAGGCCAGACTGGGCAAAGAGCAAAAAGACCCTATCTAAAAAATAAACTAAAACAAAAGGACTGGGGGTATAGCTCAAGTCGTAGAGTGTTTGCCTACCACCACAAGACCTTGAGTTCAATCCTCAGTATTGAGGGTGGGTAGGGGGGGAGATCTTATCAGCAGAAGACTGAGAAATCAACATAAATAATATCTGACTACTTAATAGTGTTTATAATGCAAGCTCCACAAGGACTTTCATGTAGTTGGTGGTTCACCTTTGTATCCCCAGTGCCTGGAATAGTATCTCAGACATAGTAGGTGATCACTAAATATTTGTTGAGAGAACAAAGTCATTATTGATGAAACTCTCAAAACTTATCAATGAAGTTACTCATTGGTTTTGTGGATACTAGAAAACTGTTTATCCAAGAAATAGTTTTTAGCTTTACTTGCTAAATGATTTGAACTCCTTGTAATCAGGACTGGATAGGTTATAACTTTTGGGCTGTTGAGGCCCTGGAGTTGTTCATGTAAAACTCCACTCTTCCACTGAGGCTGCCATCTTCTTGAAAATTCCATTTAACATTTGTGCCCAAATGCTCAAAGATTTCTAAGCAGAGTACTGAACAGTCTGGAAGGATGCAAAAGATCTGTCCTCCAAGGCTCTCCTCTGTAGTTTTGTTAGTGCTCTTCTTAGGGAAGAGCAGGAGAAAATGGGCAAGAGGGCATACTTCCAGAAACTCTTACTTTTCATATCCTCTCAAGATACCAATCCATCCTGAAAAAGAGCCCCAGGGAAATCTTTAAATGCTTACACAGTGCAGTGGTCCTTCCTCAAAAAAAAAATTGGCTCAAATTTGAGTGTAAATTACAATTAAATGAATGGGGGTTAAACATCTTACTCTGAAAAGGAAATCTCAAAAGGAGAAAAAATGGCAACATGCCAAATACTCCTGACCTCCTTTGAAAGATACCTAAGACAAATCAAATTAATACTTTCTCGAGATGCTCTTATAAATTCTAAATTATTAAGGTAGGGTATTTTGAACAGAATGGCATTTAACAGTACTTAGTATCACTCTACATAATTAATGTATAATAATTATATCCATCTAATGATGATCTACAGATGGTTTTACTTGGTAAATGGATTATAGAATATTTTCAGTTGTTACATATTGGCTTTGAAGACATTGTTGAAAAAATCTATTATTAATTTGATAGCCAGTCCTTGTCAAAAACATGATTTCGAAGTGCAACATACATGTATGGAACAAAATAGCCATTTTCTAATAGTTTCTACAGAAAATTGCTACTTCAAAAAGTGGGCTCTTCCCTGGTGGTACTACATGTAATTTACATGTAGAACTTTTAACCTGGAAGAAGACTTAGACATCTAAAGTAAATCTGAACTTTTTTTTCAAGGTTTTAGCAGTGAAAATAGCCAAATAAATGTTACATGGATGGACCAAGTCGAAATGTCAATATAATAAAAAAGAGTAGCTTTATAGATGTTACTAATCTCCAGATTACTTTGACAAGTAATTTACTTGATTGCTTATTTCTACCCTGAAGGTATTAACTTTGTATGATTAAAAGAAAATAATATTTTTTGAATTACAGGGGTTTGAATTCAGGGACTTGTACTTGTGAGGCAAGTGCTCTACCACTTGAATCATACTCCAGTCAGAAAATGATAATACCCTTAAGTCTCTTTGGTAAATATGGAGTCAGTGATAAGCCTGAAATGTTAACCCTGTAGTTAAATTAAAAATTTTAAAAATTAACTAATTGTTAAGAAATATTTTTTAGAGCTGCTGGAGTGGCCCAAGTGGTTAAGAGCATCTGCCTAGCAAGTGAGGCCCTGAGTTCAAACAATAGTGCTGCCCAAAAAACAAACAAAACAAACAAAAAAAACCCCCCAAAAACAACAAGAAACATGTTTTATTTAAGCTGGGTATTAAGATTTATACTATTTGTTGGTTTAATTTTAATTGTTTGAAGCACTGAAGTCATGGCCAGAAGCATTTTTGCAAAGTCTCTTTGAAGCACTGCACATGGAACAACTTTGTTCTTAAAATAGAAATTGACCCAGAGGATAGATCAAGGGTTTCTAGAGAAAGGCTTGCACTTGAGTCTAAGTTCTGTTATTTGCCAGCTTATTGTAAGAATTAAAGGAGATGGTATCTCTACGACACCTAACACATAGCAGATGCTTAATAGACGTTGGTTTCCTCCTTCTCCTTCCCCAGATGGCAGGCAGCAAGCAAGTAAATACCATGAAGAAAGGAAGAGTGATGTCTGTTTTCTTAGGAGTATAATCCTCATCAGAGCCAAAGGTTACCATTTAAGAGTCATTAATGATGAGTCTGAGAACAACCACTCAGCTGCTCTCTTCTTAGGAATATGTGAAATTTAAGATTATTTAAAAATTAAATATATTCACTCATTTCTCCAGGGGTAGTAGATTCCTTACTGAGTTGTCTTCTACGTGGGGTCAGAAGAATTTCTGAAAAGATAGGGAATACATTTAACATACTTAGAGTATCAATCTGAGTAATAACATATTAATTTCATTAGTATGATATTTCCTTTCTCTCTCACCCTTCTAGTAGGAATCCTTAGGTAAATTAGGAATAATGTTTAAGCACCAGAGACTAAATCTACTCCCCCCCCACCACAGCACATCTTAAATTACTGACTGCTTAGAAACAGATTTTCTTTTCAATATTATTTTACCCTGTAGTTTTTAATATACTTAATATTTTAGATGATAATTCAGAAGGTACAATTACAGTTTTAAAGCTGCTGAAATAATTACTTTTGTTACAGATAAGTGATCTCCTTAGTTCACTTTTATATCTGTCTTCAGCGTCCACAATGACTTTGTGATGATCACATTGGTATGGGCAAGAATGCAAGAGCTTGCTAAAATTTCGGCTATTTAGGGGTTTTCCTACTGCTATGCAACCTAAAAGAAAATAAATTAAGGTGATGTATAGATGTTATGAAATTACGACCTAACAAATCTATGGAAGAAGTTATCTACATGATATTAGTATTGCTGAAGTGAAATCAGGAAATTAACTATAAGTTAAGAAACCCAAAGTCATACAAGAGAGAAAAGACAACAAATATACTACAATAAAATTTAGGTGTTGGGATAGTATGAACAACAGTTGTGGCAATATAGAAAAGGAACATCCAAGCTAGGTGTTGTTATATGCCTGTAATCCGTTCTACTCAGAAGGCTGGGCTAGGAGGATAGCAAGTTCAAGGCCAGTCTAACCAACTTAAGGGGACTCTGTCTCAAAAAAAATTTAGCTGGGCATGGTGGCACACATACCAGCATTTGGAAAGTGGAGGTAGGAGGATAGAATGTTTGAGGCTGTCTTGGGCTAGGCTATGTATTGAGTTCCAGGCCAGCCTATAGAGCAGAGTGCGATAGTAAACATGAAAAAAGAAAAAATACCAGGGTATGAAGGAACAGAAGGGATGAAACAAGTATTTTGGAACACTTACAGAAAAATAAAATTGGGCATGGGACATCAGAAACATTAATATACTAATAATTATTAAATAATAATTTAACAAATATATAATATTAACATATATTTATATAAGTATAAAAATATTTGCTCTCTGAAAACACAAAAAATGTTTATGTTTCTCAGTAAAGTTAAATGTATACATGGTATTAATTGTGACAAAAGATAATAATAAAGCAATACAGGTTTTAACTGCATTGTTATATCAATAAATATCGGGAGCTCAACCTGATGCAGACAGTATTAACTTGAATGTGTTCATGCTCCAGATTATTATTTCTTCAATGATATGAAGCTTAAGTCATAAAGGAAGAACTATTATATGATTTCTAGTTAATTAATTCTAGTCAACTAATATATAAAGCTTTAATTATGAAAAAATTGTAGTTTAAAAAATATTTACCTGAGCACCTATATTTCGTTATTTTGGTACAATTATCAGTTGCTTGAAAACTGTCAACTTCTTTATTTATTATGTCTGAGCATAATGTAAAGGGATCTGGAAAAAATTATAAAATGTAATATTTTTTGATTAATGAAAAGGTCCTAACATAAGATTTATTAAATCTCAACACTTTCATAAATTTTAGTTCAGTACTATATATCTAGTCATTCTGGTGGAAAAATGGACAGATTCTGGACAGAGGCAGTAAAAGGCCAGTAGATATTTACACCCAAAGTAACTCAAAGGTGTGGTGTATGTTTTAGAGGCCAGATATACAAATGTACATTTTTTAGCTGCATCAGTCATCTGTCTTCTTGAAAAACTAAAGAAGAGATATTTTAAGTCGTACCTGTTACTGGTAACTGCTTCTTTTTATTTTTGACAATGTGAGTTGGATGTTTAAAAACACGGTCACTAAAAGAAAATAGGTAACAGATTACTAAAAGTAAAGATACTTTGGGTATGCAGACAAATGTTCTTGTAAGCAGTGGTGAGATTCTGGTTGTTTAGCAGGCAGAGGACTGGAGCCAGAATCTATCAAAATCTATTGCTATAGTTTGTAGGTTGAGTGTCCCCCAAAAGTCTAGATGTTAAAGGGATGGTCCCTGGGTTGGCACATTGGTTCTGTGAAGCTTTAAGAGGTAGGTCCTTATAGGAGGTCTTTAGGTCACTGGGTACATACCCTTGAAGGGGACTGTGGGACCCTGGCCTGTCCTCTTTCTTTTGTTTCCTGGCTCATGATGTGAGTAATTTGCTCCAATAGGCACTCCTGTCATGATGTACTGCACTTGCCAGATACCCTAAAGCAATGGGCACCCTTGTCCCCATCATTTTGGACTAAAGCCTCCAGAACCATGAGCCAAAATCAACCTTTCCTCTCTATAAGTTAATTTATCTTGGGTATTTTGTTATAATGATAGACAGCTGACTAACACATCTACCAAATTTTGCCAAAGTAGGGTCTGCAACAGTTACAACCTTGTTTCTAGAAATGGGGTTAGTAAGACTCCAGAGGGCAATAGTGCTAATGCCAGCAGAAATATGGAAGAAAAAAGGAGGGAGGGATGATGGAAAAAAAAATCACTGGGAGAAAAAAGGAGACAAGATGGCAAAGTACTAACAATAATCATTTAAGGACCCGCATTGAAAAAATCTTCCCGATCTGGGTGTGGTGGCCTATACCTGTAATCCCAGCACTTAGGAGGCTGAGGCAGGAGTATCAGGTGTTAGAGACCAGCCTGGGCTACCAAAAAAAAAAAAAAAATCTCAGCCAGAAGCTGGTGGCTCATGCCTGTATCCTAGCTGAGATTAGAAGGATCATCGTTCAAGGCCAGCCCAAGTAGATGCAAAATAGTTCACCATCAACCTCCTCCCATCAAAAACCCCAAACTCATCCTGACTCCAAAACATTTAGACATCTGTGTGTCTAATGAATAAATTTATATTTTGACTATACTATCACAGTAACAGGTAACACAGAAAAAAGGCAAGAGCTATAGACTAGAAAATAGATGTAACATAAACATGTAACTATAGTTATAGATATCTATGTACATATATTCATCAGGGGCACTACATAGGAGAGAAAAAGCTTTAAAATGTGAATATTAATAACTCAACTGATATTATATTCTAGTATTAATATGCCTGGAGTAGACATATGGTCAACCCTAAAAGAAGGGTATGGGTAGAAGTGTTGGGGCAGCGGGCAAGAAGGCTGGCCAAAACACGTATCTCACTTCTTTGCAAATCTGTATCCTTGAGAAATCAAGTTAAAAGTAACATGAAGAATGGTCTTTAAAAGGTCTGGGGAATGGCTCAAGTGGTGGAGCACTTGCCTAGCAAGCACAAGGTCCTGAGTTCACAAAGGGATGATGATGGGATAATCTGTCTCCTGATACTTAGTTTATCTTGCAGCCTGCCCAAAACATAGCTTCCTCTTCACTTTTTTTTTTTTTTAGCACAGCAATCATCAGAAGAACACAACAAAAGAAAGGGTTTAAAAAGAAGCTACACTCCCAGGTTCAGTCCCACAGGATCCCTGTGAGGGTGAACGGGTAGAACTGGAACAAAAACCAAACGAAACAAAAATGAAAACAACAAAAAGGATAGAATGGAGGTGAAACGCAGGAAATAAACTAAAAGGTTAGCCTAAATTGGATTTTTTAATCATACTAAACTTACAAACTGGTTTTTGTCACATTGCTCATACATAGATCATCTATGCTTGCATTGTTATTTCAGGTAGAGAGATTTGTTTCAGTTTTCTTTTTTTTCTTTTAGCATACTTTCTAAAATTCAAATCTGATTATGTCACTCAATAAAAATCTTTGAAGGCTCTGCATACCCCGTTAGTTAAAACCAAAAATCCTGGATATGACATATAAGGCCTCTGAAGAACTCACCCATCCTTCCTTATCCAAACACCTTTGCCAACATTTCCTACTTTAGACTCCTCCCAAGACCATGTCTTATCATTTCTGTATCCCCAGTGCTTAACAAGATGGCACATAGTAGCATACAATAAATGCTTGTTGAAAAAATATTACTACTATTAAACTATACCTTGATTGAGAAACAAAACTCTTTTTGTCAAAAGTCGTTTTTTCATGTAAGTTTTGATTGCAGCTGGAATTAATTTTACATAAGGTCTTATTTTGCCCATGCTCTCTATAGCAAGCATTAACTGGATTTGCACTCTTTAACAGGGTCTTCACTTGGTCATCATTTGCACAAGCTTTAGGCATGAGTCCACCGGTCTTACAATTCTGAAGCTGTCTATACTGGTTTTTGTCCTTATCGTTTTCCACTTTGGTACCTTCAGTTGTATTTGCACAGGGGTGTTTCAGTGTATTCTGAATATTTATTTTCACAGATGAAATATTATTCTCATTGTTAACTCTTTGTATTTTTTCCTATAATGTAAAAACGGCAAGTAAATAATTTCAGTAGTTAATTTCTTTATAATATACTTTACATTTCCTTTAAATAATGTAGAAAAAGTTTATGATTGTCAACAGAACATACATGATAAAGGGAACAGTTTACATTAGGAAGAAAAAGAGAATTTATTTAAAAATGATGTTGGGACAAATGGGAAGCCATCTGGAAAAAATAATATAGCAATCTCACAGTGTACCAAAAAGTAAGATCAAAATATACCAAATATTTAAATTTAAAAAATAAAATTACATAATCCTAAAAGAAACCACTATATTTAATATTCTCAAGGAGTGGAAGACCTTTTCAAGTATTACAAAAAATTAATAAATCACAAAAGAAGAAAACTAAATGAGTAAATATATTAACTCATACAAAATTTTTTGAGCCAGGAGCTCAAAAAAATAGCACTAATAAAAGTATGAAAAAGGTTAATGATAGTATAGGAAAGCAGGCAAAGGAACAAATAGCTCATAGGTCAGGAAACATAAGTTGCTCCCAAACATGAAAAATATCCTCTACCACTTGTAATAATAAAAATGAATATTGAAGCTATATTGACATCATGTCATTGGCAAACACTCAAAAAGTGTGGAGAAACACACACAAGAACATTACTAGTGGGAGTATAAGTTGGTATAACCTCTTTTTGGAAGTGTTGGGATTTGAACTCAGGACAAGCACTCTACTACTTGAGCCATATCCCAGTCCTTTTTGCTCTAGTTATTTTTCCAATAGGGTCTCATTTTTGCACAGGCTGGCCTGGACTGCAGTCCTCCTGTTTACGGCTCCCACGTTGCTGGTATGACAGGTGATCACCATCATTCCCAGCTTATTGGTGAAGATGAAGTCTTACCAACTCTTTGCCTAAGCTGGCCTTGAACCACAATCCTTCTGTTCTCTGCTTCCCAAGTAGCCAGAATTACAGGCATGAGCCACTATGCCTGGCCTGAAGAAATAATTTGACAATAAACTTTCATAATAAAAATGGCATCTATTAAAAATGCTATTTCTTTTACATGCACACCATATTAAATTAACTGCAACATTGCAATCACTAAAAGCTGAAAACCACCTTAATATTTATCAGAAAAGAGCTAAAAGATCCATCCAACAGAATATTCTCTAAAACAGTAAGTGTTTCTAGGTAAAATGAATTAAACATGTATATTAGATTATGGTCCTCTTAAAAACTCATTAAAACAACAATTTTTAAAAATGCATAAACCCACAAAAACAAAGAACAGTAGAAGAAATAAAGGCAACAAAAACTTGAAAACTAGAAATCAGATAGGTGAATGATTACCTACTTAGCAGAGTTGGTAAAGCTGAATTCTAAGCAGCCAGTGAAAAAAAAATCCAAGAAACTACTTAAGATATACCGTCAATCATTCAAAAGGCTTAGAAATTGGAGTTATTAAGACACTCTAGAAGGTAAGTGAAGATGGAGTTAAAAACAGATAGGATGAAAGTCTTTAAGAAGCAGTTGGATTACTTGATCTCAATCCCCATCTCCACACACTTAGCAGTTAATTAACTGATAACCAAGAGTCACTCTCTTCTCCCTATGTGCCCTTTTTCAGAAAATTATAGAAGGATGTACTCCATCAAAATGAGAGAATAAACTGAAAAGGAGAGGTTGACATGGAATCCAGGAAGTGGGATCAAACTAGAAAGGATACAAAGACAAGTTATAAGATGTTGCTGAAGATATATCTCACACTAACAAAAACACAAATAACCAATTAAAAATGGGCAAAGGACTCGAACAGACATTTCATTTTTATTTTTAATTTTTTTTCTTTTCCTTTTATTTTCCAACAGACATTTCTTCAAAGAAGACAAACAAGTGGCACATGACAAAAAGCTCAACATCATTAGGGAAATGCAAACAAAACCACAGGAGATATCGATTTATATCTACTAAGACAGCTATAATCTCAAAAATGGAAAATAATAAGATTTAGCAAAGAGGATGTAGAGGCTAGGCTCAAGCAGTAAAGCACCTGCCTAGCAAGGGTGAGGCACTGAGTATAAACCCCAGTGCCGAAAAAAACAAAACAAGTAAAAAAAAAAAGGAACACTTGTGCACTGTTGGTGGGAATCTAAAATGGTATAGCTGCTGTGGAAAACATATTAGCAGTTCCCAAAAAAACTACATGAGTTACCCTATGATCCAGAAATTCTGATTCTAGGTATATACCCCAAAGAAATGAAAGCAGAGACTCAAACAAATAGTTGAACACTACTGTCCACAACAACATTATTCACCATAGGCAACAAGTAAAAATAATTCACATGTCCATCAGTGGATAAACGGGAAAAATGTGGTGTATACACAAACCCAAAATGTGTTACTTACATACAATGGGATATCATTAAGCATTAAAAAGCTACACGGGAGGCAAAGATCTGGAGGACAGCAGTTTGAGGCAAGCCCAGCAACAAGTGAGACCCCCCTCCATCTCAACAAACAAGCTGGGTGTGATGGCACACATCTTTAATTCCATCTATACTGGAGGCATAAATAGGAAGATTTGTAGCCTGAAGCCAGCCTGGGCAAAAAGCACAAAAGAGCCTACCTGAAAAATAACTAAAGCCAAAAAAAAAAAGGAGGCCATGTCACATAAGTGATCTGTACTACCTAGGTTTGTGTAATTACCCTTTGTGATGCTTGCACAGTGATGAAATTGCTTAGTGATACATTTCTCAGAATGTATCCCTGTTGTTAAGTGACATGTGACTTCTGTAAGTGTGTGTGTGTGTGTGTGTGTGTGTGTGTGTGTGTGTGCGCGCGCGCGCGCGCGTGTGTATACTTGGAGGGAGAGGAGAGATTATTAGATTGTTTTTCCTGAAAATGCTTAGTGATACATTTCTCAGAATGTATCCCTGTTGTTAAGTGACATGTGACTTCTGTAAGTGTGTGTGTGTGTGTGTGTGTGCGCGCGCGCGCGTGTGTATACTTGGAGGGAGAGGAGAGATTATTAGATTGTTTTTCCTGAAAATTCACTTTATGGAACTATTACTTAGATCTCTTGGCTCTATCTTTTATGTCTCTTATCTTTTCAGTTATCATTTCTATTTTTTAAAAGTATCTTTCATTCTATGTCCCAAGGCTGATTCCTCAAGAATTACTATTAAAATTTTCCATTTAAAATCATTAAAATAAAAATAACTTGGGAAAAGCCATTTTTATCCTCTAATCTCTACTGTTAAAAAATATTTGAAAGATGTTCTATATTCTTTGAAACAAAGGAGCCAACCTCATTTCCTTCTCTTTCAAGCTTTTCTATTCTGTGTAGAATTTCCTTTGCTTTCTTCCAGTACTCTTCAAGATTCTTCTCTTTCACATTTATGTCCTTTAATTGTTCTGCTTCATTTTCATCAAAAGAATGCTCTTGCAGATGTAGAGATAATTTCTCAGCTTTGTAATATGGGGGAAAATAGTAAGTTTATCCATTACTAGAAATTTATTGTCACACTTTAAGGACAAACTTATGCCTCACCCTAACCCTTCTTTAAATTTTATCCATTCAGACTAACTTAACTAGTTCTGAAAATAAATTGAAAGAGTGCTTGACCAGGGCCTGGGACTCAAATATTGACATAAATTAGACTCTACTTACAAGAAAAGCAACATCATGAAAATGTTATTCCTGTCACACAAATGCCCTTAGGTAGATGAACACAGGGTTTAAAGTAGGAATTTTTGGTGCTGGGGATTGAACCCAGGGTCTTACACATGCTAAGCATTTGCTCTACCACTAAGCTACATCTCTATTCCCAAAGTACTTACTTATTTATTGACAGTACTGGGGTTTGAACTCAGAGCCTTGTGCTTGCTAGGCATGTGCTCTAACACTTCAGTAGTAGTTATTTAAAAAATAGTGTTCACGAACTGGTTACTTCCTATAATCTTTTTAATCCTTTTTGAATATATTATGACCATAATTTTTCTTCCACAAAGACAACAATCCTGATCATTGCTACCACCCTCTGTGCTCTAGCCACCCTTGCCATCATTTTCCCGAATGATCCACCCTCCCTGCTTTGTGCTTTGGTGCTGCTTAAGTCTGAGATTCACCAGAATAAATTCTCTTCTTTTCACCTAGTTAACTCTAGACATTCAGATCTCAGCTTAAGAATCACTTTCACCCAAAGCCTTTTCTGCTTCAAGTTTAGGTCCAATTCCTTTGTTACAGGCTCCCAAATATCCATGGTCTATCCCTCATAACTCTTATGTCAATTTATAATAGCATCCAATCTCATTGTGAGATAACTTAATTACTATCTGCTTCTCTAGTTAAATTAAGTTCTATGTACACAGACTGTTTTTCCTTATCACTGAATACCTAATGCCTAACATAGTACCTGATACCTAACAGAAACACTAATAGCTCTTTTAATTTTAAGTCCTACAAACTAAATTTGTCCATGATGCATAAAATAAGTGAATTAACTCTACTGTTGCTATCTATATGCTCTCTTCCATATAGGCTCAACTATGCTGAAAATACCCTAGTTGTCATGTCCAAATTATATACTGTTGGTTTTCAAGTGTAAAAAAGAACCTAGAGGCTGGGTATGGTGGCTCACACCCGTAATACCAGCTGTTTGGAAGGCAGAGATAGGAGGATCATGGTTAAAGGTCAGCCAGGCAAAAGTTAGGGAGAATCTCCAAACAAGCCTGATGTGATGGTGCATGCCTGTTATCCCAGCTACTTGGGAACTACTTGGGTGGTACAAACTGTAATCCTAGGATCGTGGTCCTGTCCAAGGCTCACTGGGGCAAAAGTTTGAGACCCTATCTTAAAAACAAACTAAAAGCAAAGAGAAAATGTGGGCATGGCTCAAATGGTAGACCATTAGAGCAAATATAAATTTCCCTTTATAAACTTTGGTTGGTATTATTATTATGTTAACAGTAAACTTACTAATTTTTCTGCAGTTGTGAAGCACATAAGTGGCAGCCTTGTTTAGTTCCTCATTCTGAGATTCAGTTAAGGCCTGTATCATGAGTGGAAGGCCATTGTTTATAAAAAGGTCATACTGATTTTCCTCTGGAAAAATATCAAATATTAAAACCGAAGGCAACTATTTTATCACAAACTGTATGCATTAAATCATATTCTTCTTTGTGATAATTATGAACATAGTTCAAAATTTTTATAATAGAGAAAAATAAATAGAGAAACTTGAAAAGTATTTTCAATTTAGGAAATAATCTGTTTACACAAAATACCTAAAGCTCATAAGCAATGATTTCTGAAATGCAGCCAGAGTGTCATATCTCATAAGAGAAAACAAATCCCCTCACTTGTTTTAAGAAAAAGGTTGAGTCAATCATAAGTTACACAGAGGTTAGGAGAAAGAAGAGAAAAATAAACTACTGGAAGGAGTACAAAATGAGTGAAGCAAAAGAGCAGAAGAAGCAAGAGAGCAAAGAGAAAAGTATGGAAAAGTGGGGATGGGGAAGGAGAGAAGGGAGGAGATTGGAAGACAGAGTGAAGAAAGTAGGAGGGTTAAAAAGAAGGAGTAGATTAGAGAGAGGGAGTGGGAAGAAAGTAGAAAGAGGAAGGAAAAATGGAAGGGGAGGAGAAAGACATAAAATGGAGAGAGTAATAGGTAGTGAAAGAAGAATCTGTGAATGTTTTTAGTGAGGATAATAGGATCAGATTTGTGCAGCAACATGAAGAGTGGTGTGAAAATGAAGATAGAAAAAAAAGGAGTGCAGGAAAGTAGCTATTACTTTAATTTTGGTGAAAGGTGCTGAGGACTAAGGATCTAAATTAGGAGGGTAGCATTTGCGATGGTAAGAAAAGGAAAAGAAAGTAAGATCCACAGGTCTTAGTGACTGATACAATGTGGGAAGGAGGATGAGGAGGTAAAATGACTAGTTTGAGGCCTGAAAGACTGGGAGAAAGGCAATATTTAAAGCTTTTACTATCACTGGAAGGAAGAAACAAAAGTATGTTTCCATGCCAGTGTGTTTTAATAAACACACTGAATAAACTCAATACTCACCACATTCCTCTGTGCAATGACCAAGAGCAAGTATGATGCTAAATTTTTCTCCAGAATCCAGACTTTCATGAGGCAGTAATGCCAGAAGTTTTGAAACAATGTGGTATTTGGATAGTACTACCCCAAAAGCATCTATTAGTGTAAAACAGAAAAAGAAGGATAGTAAGTAAAAGTTTAAAACGGAGCCAGTGGCTCACACATATAATCCTAGCTACTCAGGAGGCAGATATCAGGAGCATTATAGTTCAAAGCCAGCCCAGGAAAATATCCAACACCCTACTTGAATATATCCAACACAAAAAGGGCTGGCAGAGTGATTCAAGTGGTAGAGCACCTGCTTAGCAAGCGTGAAGCCCTGAGTTTAAACCCCAGTACCACCAAAAAAATCATATATATCTTTATCTATATATATGTATGTGTGTGTTTTCAGAGGTTATTCAAAAATATCATCGTCTATAATATCTAATATACAAACATAATGTTTACATATGTATATGTTAATATAAATAAACTCATAAGATGATGGCTTATTATAATAGCCCGCATTAATCCTTCTAAAGCAAATTTTATGAAGAATGGTTTTTTTTAGTTATTCTGCCTAATGTTGTGAATATGAGTAATGCTATAATGTTATGATTATGAGTAATGCTACTTTCCTAAAAACTGAATACCCACTCTCAACTTACACATCTCCTCCTATCTACAATGGTCAGTAAAGCTGTTCCTATATAATCCAATCCTGCCTGACAATGAAATATGCTCTTAACTGACTGTGGTTCTACTGATGTTAGTGATGCAAGGAAGCATATTTGAACCTATGCTGAGATGTGACAAAAGTCAAGAAGTCCATTATCTTAAGCTACACTTCTCCTCACAGGCGTTTTTAATAGAGTTCACCAAGTCTAAAATACTGGTGTCAACAATAATGTAAAATCGAGCCATTTATTAATCATTTCAGTATATCTGGAGCTCAGCAGGCACTCCATAACTGCTTTTTAAACAATCATCTATTTTTCAGTTATTTGTGAATGCCAGTAGTTTCTTTTTTCAAAGATTTATAGAATAGTACATCTCAGTGCTTGTACAAATGAGAAGCAGGCATGTATTCAAGCCAGGTTCTGCTATTCACTCATACATTGGGAAAGTCAGACATCATACTCATCAGAAAAAAGTATACTTTAATTCTTTATATAATTCTTCTTTTTTTTTTGTATTGGGGTTTGAACTCAGGGACTCATGCTTGCTAGGCAGGTGCTCTACCACTTAAGGCACTCTGCCAGCCCTATGTAATTCTTAAATATTTGTAAATTGGGTTTTTCATTCCTTTTGTCTCAAAAATGTCCCTGATTTCTCATTTAAAACTTTTAATTTAATGCTGCTTTTTAAGTGAAATAAAGGTCTAGGAATGACAGAATCTTATTTTCATTCTTGAAGTCAGAAGACCTAGATATATAACCTTAGGAATGTCCTAACTTTCATGAGAAAGATTCCTTTCCACTTGTGTGAAGATGTAAATCTAATCCATGACAGTGTTTAATCTACCATTTCAACACTCACCATGCTAAATTCAAATAAAATTCAAATAAAATTCAAAAGCATTTTCACTCACAATTATCAGCAATACAGGCATCTACTGTCTTTGTCACCACCACTGCAAGCTTAGCACTGGAAAGAGTCTTGTGTGAATCAGATTCCAGTTGCACAAGAACTTGAGATAATACATCCAGTCCACCCACAGATACAAAGTATTTCTGAACACATGCTTAAGGAATAAAGTAGCAGAACTGTTAATATCTCAAACAAGACAAGAGTATGGTTTCATTCAATTAATTTGCACTAAATATAACATTAACTTGACTTTTTCAAATACTTAACTAAAAATCCCAAAATTAAAATTTAAAAGTCCAGTCTTTACCTGCGCATTTATATTATCAGAGGGTAGCTTACTTATATAAGCATTTCACTTTGACATAGTACAACTACATGTAGTCTTCTTGAATGAAGAAAATCTTATTTATATCATTTAGTGAGAACTGGTATATTTTCTAAGTGATACTATTAAATTGTTCTACGGCATTATTAAATGAATCTTTCAATAGTTATAAAGAATAGATTCAGCAGGCTGGAGGTGTGCCTCAAGTGGTAGAGCACCTGGCTAGCAACTGCAAAGACTTGAGTTTAAACCCCAGTATCTCCAAAAAAAAAAAAAAAAAAAAAAAGAGCCAAATGTACCCAAAATGACCTAAATGACCAAAATAATAAAGCTACTAATTAATGAAATAATGAATTAAATAGTTTTTTTTGTTGTTTTAAAATATGCTGCTATTCTAGTGTGGGCTAGAGAATAATGAATACTTACTGTTATTTGCAAGAGTAAGTCCAATAAATGAGCAGATAGGGCGAATTATCTCAGGCTTCATGCAATTTATTAGCCACTCATTAGCATGTGGAAAAAGTGAACAACATAACATTTGATTCTCATCTGAAATGAGGCAAAGTCAATCATGCTTTAATTTGACATTTGGAAAATATCAGTTTTTATTTGTTTTTATCCTTAACTCTGTATGTAAATATTTGAGATAATTACCATTTTGAGGGTTGTTGACACAGACACACAAAGTACTACATACTGAAGACCACAACTGATAACTCTGGAAAACATTATTATCTGACAAATTCAACTCATACTTTGGAAGAATTGTCCTGTCAGTTTAAAGAGAAAAGGAAATGAATTAATATAAGTGCATTAAGGTCTTAAGCAAGGAACAATTAACAAAATCCTGTTTTTGCTTACCTGAACAACTGTGACAGAACTGTAATGCAACCTGTTTCTCTCACAAGTGTTTGTCCATTTCCTTAAAAAAGTAGCCACATATTATATGAGTATGACTTTTATTTAGAAATAATTTTGTAGAAATAAACATCTATGTAGTACTTTAATAAAACATGAGCTTTTAAACTACTTTAATATATTAGAAGGTAAAACAGAATTATAGTAGGTAAAACATTATAATCAAAATTATTTTAGAATGCACTATTTATGCTTAGAGACTAACAAGTTGCAAAACATTTTTTTATATCATGGTTCTCTGTCACAATATGAAAATATGCTCCAAAGTAGAAAAAAATACACTCAATCTTTTCTAGTTTTTCCAAAATAGGAAAAATTAAATCTAGAAACATTTTAAGTACCTAAAAATTTGAATAGCAAAATAAATACTAAAATATAATCTTAGCCTGGGCAATTGGTTTATGGGAATATTCTATACTATATTTTCAACTTTTCTGTAAATCTAAAACTATCCAAAAATAAAAACCATTAATGGCTAATACAGTAAACCCTGTAACTAAATTATCGATTCAGAGAAAAATCAACCAATTGAAAATTTATGAAATGTTTCTCTTTCTCCTTTTAAAACTGTTAAATTTCAGTTACTATTTAACAAATCTCTAACAAATTACTATTTCTTAACAAATATTAAAGGATTAAATGCATACAATTAATTCCTTTTTCTTTAAAGCTAGTATTTCTCACAAATTAATGACATAAAGACAGTGATATAAAGACTAGAATAAAAGCATTAATGATGACTATTCCAATTTATTATTTTAAATGCTTTTTAACATTCTTAAGAGAATATACTTACTGTTATTTGAAACCAGAACCAAAATAACATAGACAGACATTCTTTTCAAATTTGTGTTTGACTCATTATTAGATAGGAACAAAATTAAGTCTTCAAATAACTCTGAGGTACACAAAGTTTGCTGACAGTAAACTGAAATATAAAATATAATTTTAATTTCAATACATTAGTACAAACCAGTTTTAAAATATGCAGAACAAAACACAAAGCTGTCAACCAGATGGCTCTCAACCAGATGTCACTTAATGGACATTTATTAGAAATACATGCTTTGAAATTGGAAGCTAAAAAAAATACAAAATTTCTGACAAACTGATATATGCTTACTTAAATAGCAGACCAAAGCAGCAGTTTCTTAATCAAAATTTACTTATCTAGGCTTCAAAACACAGTTAAAATCCCTTAGAATTTCCAATAAAAACCTAACTAAAAGCTGAAAGTCATACAAAAAATTTAAGAGTGTAAGTAACAAAACAAAGTAAGAAAAACAATTTAAGAAAATTCAGAAACCTGCTTTGGAAAACAGAGGGACAAATAGGACGATATTTGTACTATGTTTTGAGAATTTTCTAGGAATAAGTCTTTTTTTAAAAAACTCAAAATTGAAAATGAGTGTTGTGGCTGTTGTCCCAGCACTCAGGAGCCTGAGGCGAGAGGACCTTGAGTTTGAGGCTAGTCTGGACTATAGAGCAAGACCCTGTCTCAAAATAAATAAATAAACAAATAAATAAATAAAATGGTATCTGACAATGTTTTGATTTTTTTATTGAAACTCATGCAATATGCAGAATCTTACAAAAATAATTTAAGAGCTAGGAGGTGTAGCTTAGCATGCATGAAGCTCTGAATTCTATCCCTAGCACCAACAAATAAAAATAATAATTTGAACAAAGTGATATAATGAGCATTTTACCCAGTGCCTAGCACTAGCTATCAGACCCTATCTCAAAAGCAAGAACTACTAGATTATTCACCCCATACCTTCAACACCTAGCATAGAACTTGGTTCTTAATAGCTGATGAGATGTAATTAATTGACAAAAATGTAAAACTACCATGGTTTGACAAATGGTGATTTATATTCAACCTCATTTCAGGTATAATGAAGAAAAGTATTCTTGCCATATGAATTTCTGTACTCAAAGCACTCAAGACGGTTGTTTGTGGATTATTTTCATCTTTTGATTTAAGTGCCTGGATAAAACTACTTAAACACTGAAAACATTTAATTCTAGAATTACTTTTGACTAAAGAATAACATGATACTTGAAGGATAATGAATAATATTTTATATTTTACCATTTCCTTCTGCAACAGCTCCTAATGTAAATAAGGCTGCTTCTTTTACCATGCTATGCTCACTTGACTTTGCAAGATTTTTTACAAATATCAGACCACCAATTTCCCGAAAATAAACACCTG